CTGTTTTCCCTCAAGAAATATCTGGAAGACGTCTTCTTCTGGAGCCCATCGGCCTCCTTCTAACGCCTTCTTCAATCTGTCCTTCACAATTTCCCATGGGGTGTCTTCGTATGCCTGGATCATATTTAGGACACTCCTCCTAACACGACAAACCAAAGCCGCTCTCAATGCTTTAGCATCCACCGAGTCCATCAAGCTTTCTTCTTCTTTCGCTTGTATTCGTGAATTTACTCGATCGCCCCTCTTAAGGAAGTGATTTAGCTCAACGAATCCGCCGTCGAACCTCTCAAGATCCGCTATTGCTCTACTCAAATTTTGTGACGTCGCTGTTCTAATCTTCAGACATTCGCTGCTAAGGTTTCCGTTTGCAAATGGGGAAAAATCCACTGCCAGCTTTGGATGTCAGCTCTGAAAACGCTGGTGGTGGAACTAATAGAGCGGCCGATGGTGCGGCCTTGCTTTATAACCGGTACTTGCTGTTGACCAACTCCGTTCGGCATCTTTTTCCTTTATTATTTCTGGTGACGTAAAAGAAAAAAAAAACTATCTTACCGACTGGGTTTCGGCACCACTTACGATCGCCCGGGCAAGAAAAAAAAAAAAAAAGAAAAGAAAAGGGATGCGAAATAACACACTCAACTACTCGCTAAAGACTGACTTTATTTCTCTGGTAATCTTCTGTAAAAATTATTAGTCTTTGTTTACCTAATCTCTGTAGGATTAAATACAATATTAATTGACTTATATATGTATATTATATATAATATATATATATATTATATATATATATATATATATATATATATATATTATATATAATATATATATATACATATAAATATATATATATACATATAAATATATACATATAAATATATATAATATATACATATAAATATATACATATAAATATATATAAATATATATATATATATATATACATATAAATATATACATATAAATATATATATATATATATATATATATATATATATATATATATATATATATATATGTATATATATTCGGGCGTAGGACTGATGACCCTATCCCGTGTACTTAAATCGGTAATCGGGATGTGGCTTACCAGGATGTTAGTAGCTCCCTCAGGCTCGGTCTATGGATGATTGAGCAGCCATAATCCATGGATCTAGACCGATTTGTCACTGACCTTGAACCCAAGTGAGTAAGGACACTGCCAGATTGGCCCCAAAGAGATCGGGTATGGAGCCTGCCACTGCACCATGCAGACCATGGTTCGTAGCAACGTGATGGGCGACCCCCTCCAGGATATCTGAACTTCCATAAGTAACACACATCTGTAAGGAGACCACATCTCGTGTCCAAAGATCTTCAGGGTATATAGTGCCAACCGAAAAAAAATAATATATATATTTATATATATACTGTAGAATGCTGTTGATCCAGACTAATCTATATCTATGTCAGCCATAGTTGAGATATTAAAATAGTCTTGATAATCAATTTACATAATTTTGAATGGAACAACAACAAACTTTCTTTTTAGTATTAAAAAATATATTAAATCACTTTTGATTTGAATAATATCTGGCGTAATATATGGATGGATATGGATGGGGTACTATTTACTAACCAAAATCTGATGCACCTTATTCAACATTCAAAAGTAGAACACACTCACAATAAAAATAATTGAAAATTTTCCAGAAAGGTCAAAAGGTAATGTTTAAAAATTTCATTTTTAAACCAAAAACTCAAATTCAGAATCTTTACTATAACAACAATAAATAAAGATTAAAATATTTTACAACAGTATAGTTTATAATTTAAAATAAAAATTTTACATGAAATTAGGGCTTGAATTTTTAATTCTGTGATTTAATAAGAAAATATAAAATAAAATGAAACATTTTAACTCTGGAAAATATTTCAAATTTTGTTTAAAAACAATCATGAATGGATTTAAGTTTAGTCCAAATAACTGAGAGTCTGGATCAGAGATCTCTAAACTGGTCCCGTGGTCTATGAAGATTTCTTTGATGGTAAAAATTTTAAAAAAGTTTGAAATTTAATAAATAACTTGAACAAAATATTATTAAAATTTTTATTACATGAGTTGTTTCACTTAGAACACTCATTTAACAACTGAAGTGTCATTTATAGGACAACCTTTTTTCCTTGTATCACAAGGCGTGACCTGCAGGATTTAGTGGAGCTCTCCATATGGCCCTTGGCACTTAATTTAGGTCTCCATGTGTCTCATGGGCCCAAAACTTTGGAGATCCGATGTCTGTATTATTGATATTCAATGTTTTACTCTATTCATATTATAGAAGGACACAAAAATAATGCACTTTTTCTATAAATAAAAATTCTGAGGTTCTTAATATAATATTTTAAAATTTATAAAATTGCGTTCTGTAAGAACAATGTCTGTGTATATTCAATTTCAAAGTGTAAATAATTCAGCATTTAAAAGACCACATAAAAAATCATTAATGATGATTTTATATTTTGAATAAAATGAATCTACTATATACTGTTTAAAAGTGATCAAGAAGAACCAAAATTTTGAAGTGCATATTAAGAACAATTTTTTTATGTTTTTAAAGCCTTATATTAAGATTGTATAATTGAACAATTGAAGAAATCCAAACAATAGAAAGAACATAGTAAATTTAACATCTTTATCCTTACATTTATTGTATCCTAATTTTTTTTTGTAATTTTATTTATTACACACCAGTCAACAATTTCTTGTGTTGGAAAAAATCATGTTTTAATTTTATTAGCATAATTATTTCCTTCTTCACTTATACACTTTTTTTTTGTATAATTTATTTTAGTATTATGATTAATACTAAACTTTAATTCTGTGGGTCTCACTTTTCCCAATGATTCCAGATCATCCATTATCTTTGCCTCTAGATTAAACATGAGACTATGATCCCAATTATGTCACAATCTATTCTAAGAATCATATAGCATTCCAAGAAGTGGAGGAAGGAATGCATACATAAGGTGGAGGAAACACAGTGTATTAGTAAAACTGGTTATATTTGGTCCCAGTGATGAAGAAGGAGGAGCTGTGAAAACATCATACCAGGTTCAAGTGAGTCTTAGGTCCTTTTCTGTCAAAAATTATAATTAAATAAAATAATTTTTAAAAAAGTTAAAACATAATAAGCAGTTTGTTCAGCTTTTTAATAAATATATTTAATAAACTCTCAGTAATATTATTTATTTTTTCCATAGATGACTATGATTAAAAGATTATTCCTTCAGATATCAAGTATGAAAATGAAATATTTTCCATTTATTAAAAAAAAACTGTTTTTCCAATGTTTACAAGAAATAAATTTAACATAATTTTGTCTAAATTTTATTGCAGAAATTTAATAGTTAATAATAATTAATTATTAGTAATAAATTATTTAATAATAAATAATAATAATAATTATTATTAGTATTATATATACTAATAATAATTATTAGTATAGTACCTATGTGAAATCTAATAGGTCTATCAAAATGTGAGTAGTTGCCATAGTTAGTATTATGAACTTGTACCGATATCAATCTCCTGATGCATTTTAAGCCATGACATTATCAAAAAATGGCTGCCACTCGATCAAAGATCTGCTCTTATTAACCTTGATACTGAATCGATTTTCATGAAATTTGTATTTTATGAACTAAATTACTATGTATAATGCAATGAAGGTTTTATTTAGTCCAAATAATTGATGGGAATTATTATTAAACCATAATCTATATTTATTTTAAGGATTTTCAACATTGAAATGTGCTTACTGCCCTCCAAAATAAAAATAAAAACAATAATAATAATATAGGAAAATAAATATAATTTATAATAATTTGCACATTTTTGTAGGATTTGATCTAATCTGCCACAATTACATCTTCAGAAAGGAATCATACTTAGGTAAAGATTGGATAGAATGTACATTTTAACTTCTGCTTTTAACTCTACTAATGTGTCATTGTTGTAGACACTAAACATTTTTCTGACTCACTGCATTATTTCATTATCACTGAAAATAATTATAAAAACACCAAATATAAATTTTGCACCATTAAATTCCACTTTTATTTAATTAATCAATTATAATATGGTTCTATAAATTAATTGAAATGGGGTCTCCAAAACACCTCATGTCTTAAATTATGTCTAGATGGTTATTCCCATCCATGATATATTAAAACAAAAATAAAATTGCATTAATTTATTCCAGAACTACCAATTGGTTTGATTTCACATTTTTTCATATTTGAGATTAAAACTTTACAGATGCACTTATAAGTTTTCCTATTGTTCAGTTCAATTATTAACAATTTAAAATAAATTTGTCTTCTTTATTTACTGATTGGATTAAAAACTATAGGCCTTCTAAACAGCCAATTGCATCTGTTACACTAGGTACCACCATGGAGATCTTAATATTCCTTCAAATCCTTCTTTTCTCATTGATGGTGTTTGCTCATGATCCTCTGGTAGTGCAGACAGCCCAGGGTAAGCTCCGTGGGTTCAGAGCCACCTCCAGATCTGGAAGGCTTTTCCTTTCCTTTTCTAGCATACCATTTGCCAAGCCTCCTATAGGTCCTCTCAGATTCAAAGTAAGTGACAGGTTATGTTCATATTATCATTATTTATTTTCTTTTTGAAACAAATATTCATGATTTTCAAACAAATAAATGCTTGGATATTATATTGTAATAAACAGCCCATACCATCTAAGTATCCCATTTGTTTTTTACTTTATTCTACCTAAGTTTTTCATGAAATATATGAAAATAGGGCTAAATTAATAATTAAATACTATTTTTAAAATTTTTTTTATGAATGAAAACTGGACTTGCATCTGTTACTCATGCTCTAAAATGTTGCATAATATTATATTTGACAAGACAGTTCAAGTTGAAAAAATAAATAAATATACATATTTTTCCAGCCACCGGAAGAACCAGTACCATGGGAGGGTATAAGGAATGCCACAGACCTAGGACCATGGTGTATACAATACAACATGTACCAAAGGCGTCCAACAGTCTTTGGTGTTGAAGATTGTCTTTACCTTGCTGTGTATACTCATGATGTAAGTTATACGTAACTTCTCTCGCTAGATCTATAATTTAATTTAATTTACAAAATAGAGGTGTTTTTAAGTAACTTCCTTTAAATGATTTATTAATTTCTACATGTTCATATTCTTTACATGTTTTGTAAATTAGCACCACATTATTTTATCCAGTATTAATAAAGCAACAATTAAATAACTGTCACAGATAAATATCATAGTTGAAATTAGCACATGAACTGTGCTTAATTACTTTAGGCAGTCTCACTAAAATTACTAAATTAAAAAAAAATGTGATGTGATGGGTCAGCAAAGTATGATTGCAAGGTTACATGTTCAAAACTGTCTGATTTATTAATTGTTCCATTGATGTAGAAAATCTGTACATAAAGGAGTAACTGAATCATTCCCTTCTGAGGCCTATTTTGTATATTATATGTTTTTTTGATATAGAAATGATAGAATGTAAGTATGGCTTATAATTCAGCTGATATTATTTTATCTAGATGGCATAGTTGGGACTGAGTTTACAGGTCATTAAAATGCTACAGAGCAGTTCCTTCTTTAATGAATAGGGGTAATTTGGTACTTATAGAGCCGCTAATACATTTTCCTAATATTGTGTATTAAGAGGAGATGCTTGGCTATCTATTATTGTTTTTTTCAAGTAACTGATTATTACATTGTTTTGTTATAATAATTGAAAATGTTAGTATTATCATAATAAAACTTATAATAGTATTATTATAGTCAACTTTTAATTTTTAAAGTGTTAGCGCACTATTTGTTTATCTCTTGAATTGCTTGTAGACTAAGGGCAAAGCTCCTGTTTTGTTTCATCTCCACGGCGGCGGTTTCATAGCTGGAAATGGCCCTCATAAAACAGATCCCAGGTATCTGATGGATGAAGATGTGGTAGTCGTTGTTGTCAACTACAGAGTTGGAATAATGGGTAACAACCATCAACATTTTACTGATTGCTTCATGATAATTTGAAAAAAAAAACTTTATTATTTTAAGTTAATAAAAATATTTTTAATGAAACGATATAGAATATAATTTTTTATAATAATTGAAAAACATGTGTTTTTCTCTACTCAGTAATGAACGGTTCAGAAAAAAAGACTCACTTACAAAAACTAAAAACTTTTCAATCTAAAATTTTAAGACTAATAACCCCAGCCCTCTGGTATGTCAACAACAAATCTTTACACACTGACCTCAGAGAACCAACTATTGATCAGCACATACGTACTATCTACTCCCAATTTCATCTTAAATTACACGGACATCATAACAGGCTTATCAATGACATGGCCACGACTGACATGCTCATATGGAGGGGACTGAAAAGGAGCTGGATGAGGGATGTCCTTTTCTGATTTAAGGATGTCAACAGACCAGGGATGAGGTGCTGCTGGGTACTGTTCTTCATCATGCCTATCATGCCATTTTTCATCTGTCAACAAATCTACTTAAATTGTCACTACTATGACAGGTGTGAATAGAGATTTGAAGACCAAATAAAAAAATAAAATATGTTTATCTCCAGTTAAATGTAATATAAAAAAAAATGAAAAGAAAATCCTCATACCATAATTTTTGTTACTAAGCAATGGGTGATTTTTGCTGTTGATAGTGTAGTGGGGTAGTTCAGCGAGTAAGGCATATGCTCGAATTTTTGGAGTCTGGGTTTAAGGCACATTGCAAGAGATAATTCTTATTTTTGAGAGCCCCTCTATCCCCTCCCCCCAAAATTAGTTATTTATGTCGAATATAACATATTTATCATAAATAATGATTAAATTTTTTGTCGTTATTCATTTCAAGTGATTAAAAAAAATGAGTATGTTATAATTTTTTGTTTGATATTAGTTTCAATTAATGACTAAAAAATTAGTTCACCAGTCATATTTATTTGTTGTCATTAATAATTTAGTCATTAATTATCAATTGAATAATTTTGGCCCAACTATGCTTACAAAGTAACTACTCAAATCCAGAACTTTCATGGGTTGTAGTTGCATAGATTTTTTTCTTTTAAAATATTTAGGGCTCTTTTAAAGTAGTTAAGTTAGACCAGTTAAAGTAGAATAATTGGAAAATGTCTTTCAATCTGCCAATTATTTATGAGTTTTGGTGATGTCTTTGTTATGTTATGATATAGTCAAAAGTATCAAAGATAAACTTGAGTTGAATTTAAAAAATATAATTTTCCATATTTAAAAGTGATCTTAGATTTATTTAAATTTCAATTACAATATTAAAATTTATTTTTTTTTTAAAATATTCAAATGAGAAACTGCATTTATTAAAGGTTTCCTTAGCTTTGAAGATAATGTGATGCCTGGCAACCAAGGGTTAAAAGACCAAGTGATGGCCCTCCGTTGGGTAAAAAATAACATTGCTAAGTTTGGTGGTGATCCAAACAAAGTGACTCTAGTTGGTGAGAGTGCTGGAGCAGCAAGTGTTTATCACCACACAATATCCCCCCTCAGTAAGGGTAAGTATAAATATCTGTTAATATGAAAAATTGCAATGATTTATATATTTTAAAATTTATCAATATTGTTATTTCCAACTGGTTATTTCCTTTTATGCAATGTTATATTGTCTATATATTTAGCAGTTTCAGTTATTGTATAGTTTTTAAATCCAAAAATTCTTGAGAATAAATTTGTATTTACATGGCATATTATTATTATTATTATTTTTGTTGGTAGGATTGTTCCATCGTGGAATTGCAGAAAGTGGATCCAGCTATAATATGAGATGTATTATGCCGCCGGGTATGGCCAAAGAGAGAGCACAGAAATTAGCTGAACTCGTTTCTTGTCGTAAAAATAATTCCAAAGAAGCTACTGATTGTTTGCTGAAGAAGGATGCCAAGGAATTAGTTGGGCACATGGAAGACTTCAGGGTAATTATAGTACAGAGGTACAATTCTTTTAGTGAAATATGAATCAATTATCAAATGGTTAAACTATATTCTGTTTCTAGCAGCAATTTTATTTTATAAAATAATATAAACTTTTACATAATTAAATGTTATCACCATTAGATCTGGCAAATAGACCCTCTGCTTCTCGTTTTGCCTGTTTTGGAACCAGCTGGATCTGGAGCATTTATAACTAAACCAATCAACAGCTGGCAACACAACCCTGTGCCTCTTCTTATGGGTATGACTTCGGCAGAAGGACTCCTCAGGGCTCAATGTGAGTAAAACTCGTAATTCTGCTCTAATAGACATTTTATTAACATTACTTTTATAATACAAGTATAAATATATTACCTCTGTGACAAAAACAATACTTTAATGCATAAAGTTCTACTCAAGAGCTGTAAATGCAGGATATATGACTGATTCATTCTCATTAGTAGTTTTATTCTTGAAAAAATTTACAGAATTAAATTTGTAAAAAAATAATGATTTCATTGTTTCCTTTCCTATGAATTTCGTTTGAAATTTTACATTTTTAAAAATATTCTAAACATATCTATAATTTTTAGTTCAGCTCACTTATTTTTAAATTTATAAACTTAATGAAATTTTAATGGCCACTATTAAGCACTGCACCCACTTGTTTGCTCTGGCCTGCCTCAAAAAGTACTATGAATGAATAGGTATCGAGCTCGTTCACTTGGCCACTCTGCATATTTTGAGCCGAATAGCAACTTATTCAGTTATATTTACATTTTTAAGTCAGACTGAGGCAGACCAAAGTGAAAAAGTGTGCACCATCTTTGTCCTATTGAATAAAAGGCACTTAGAGAGAAATTACATTAAATTTGTAAAAAAATAATGATTTTACTATATGATGATTTATAAATTTCCTTAAAAATGTATTTATAGTTAATTTAAAATTGAAATGACTTTTTTAAATGCCTGATTAAAATTTATATAATTTTTGAAAAAATATTATTGATCTTATTCACACCCCCAATGCATTGGCTACATTAAAAGTAATAAAAACTGTTAAGGCATTTTTACTTTCACTTACCTATATATGAAATGTGCAATCATGAAAATTTTTGAATCTCAGGTTAGGAAAAACACGTTTTAAGGTCCCCCGGGTCTAAATAGCCAAGTCCTGCAAAATAGTATGCACACGCACGCGTGTGTGTGCTGGTGCGCATGTATATAACAGGTCTAGCTCAAAACTGAAAAGTTGTATGAAAGTGAAATTGCATATTTAAGGTTTTTATATACCTGAGATGTTACAGCATCTTTTTTGTCAAAATCGTCTTACCGGAAGTGGCACATTATATCATCGATGAAACACATTTTTAGGATTTTTTCTCAAAAACGGCTTCAATGTTTTTTATTAAATTCATTATAACAGTGTAAAATTAAGCAGTTTTTAATATTATGTAGATTTTATTCTCATCGATGTTCTCTAACAGGGCTTAAATGACTAATTTTCAATATTAGCTTCCTCTAAAGTACTTTAATTTTTTTTATTTGAAACAATTAACCATTTTACATTGATCTGTAATATAAAAAATAGTTAAATATAAAATATGAAAAAATTTGATGATTAACTAAAGGAGAAATAAGAGATCATAACAGAGAATAGTAGTAATGAAAGAAGGAGCTCACCCAAGCTCGCCTGAAGATTAGAACATGCTTCCATAGTAACATGACCTTAATACGATATGGACTACGACAATATTATGTACATATACACATGCGGTTTGCTTCAATATTTTCGTTGGTATTATTTAATATTTAATTGTATAGATGTATGTACGTATAGTTGTAGCGATATAAATATTAAAATTTATATATATAAGGATATTTAAACAAATTAAAATACTCACAATGAAATATAAGTAAATATAGTGTCATAATTTTTACTTTCACTCCTCCTTTGTTTGAAAATACTTATTTCTGCTAAGAAGAGGGTGGTAAGTGAAAGTTGTGTGATGCGCACCAGATTTTTTATGATTAATTTGTTCAAATGAAGTTATGTACTACAAACTTCAAGCTTTCATAGAATTAATTAAAAACAGAAGATTTGACAATACTACAATTATTTTTTCTCTCTCTTATTAGATCTACTAAACTACAACTTGGACTTTAAGTGGTTTAATGACAATTTTGAGAGATTAGCTCCCATTACGTTTTTGTACTATCGTTCTGCTTCAAACCCAGATGAAATTACAAAAAAAATCAGGCAATATTATTTTGGAAACAAAGAAATTTCAGAAGCCACCTGGGCTAACTTAACCAATGTAAGTTTATTTTAATTATAGTACGAATGATTAAATAATATATTAAGAGATTATCTTAGATTTAGGAATATTCAATAAACTATTTTTAAGTATATTTATTTTAAACTGAAGTCATAGAAAATGTTTATTATTGATCCCATTTAAGAAATTACTCAAGAGGAATTTAAGTCAATAAATATTTAATTTAAACAAATGTGCAATATAATTACTATATTGATAGAAATGTATTATTAGTTTCATTGATTATTTCCTTTAATCTACCAAAGCTACACTATTATATATTTTCAGGCTTACACTGATAGTTGGTACACATCTGGAATATTTGATGCTGCTAACAAACACACTGGTGATGTATATTTTTATTATTTTGATTATCGGGGAGAGTTTTCTTTCTTTCCTTCGGGTGGTAATAAAACTCAGTATGCCATTGGTGAGCAATTTTTAATATATTTTTTAATTTTTTATAATTTTCATCCTCTAAGCATCATATCCCATGTCAAGATAGATAAACCTTAAAAAAATTGTTTGCAATTTTTTTTATTCATACTAAAATTCCTCTTATTCTGTTACTCCTTACCAATTCCTAGTTATCTATCCTTATCCCAATAGCATTTTCCTCCTCATGCTGCATTCCAAAAACATCTTTTGATTTTATGAATTTCTATTTTATAAATATTTCTCTTGAAGATCTACTTTCCTCTGCTTCCAAATCCAGAATTAATAGCTAAGGTCCAATAAAATTCCTGTGAAGTTAGTCAAACTTTGTCTTCACGTAGTCTTTCCTGTTCCTTTGGATATTTTTGATTTTTTCTTACATTATAGTTTCCTAATAGTTTGGAAAAAGCTGTAATCTGTCTGCTGAAAGAAAAGTATTAGGCAATGAATGTACAAGGCTGGGACTTTCCTGGTTTCCTCCAAAGTTTCTGGTTTCTGACATCTCTTTTCTTTTTAATCTTTCAAAACTACTTGAAATACTTATCTATTCATTACCTGATACTTTTCTTACCTCTCCAAATTTACTATTTCTTTCATCCTGCCACAATGCTTGAGGTGACCCAAAGGCCATAAAAAGATACAGACAGTATCAACGCATGGGCAGCAAGCAATGATTTGAAGTTGAATTTTGAGAAGAGTTCTTATTAGTTGAAAGTATTATTTTTAATTCCTCTCCTTATTACACCTTACTACTATATCTAGAATAATAACTCATAGGTATAACTAATTATAATAACTATAGAATAATAATAGAATATAGTTTTCTATTCAAGTTATTCTATATCTAGAATAATAATTCATCAAAGTTAAACATTTAAAGTCAATTATTTCATCTTAACTATTAATCTTCCAATATAGTCAGTTTATTGCGAACAGTCATTTAGTAGGTATAACTTCAAATAATTAAGAACTTTAATAAATTTTTCCTTTTTGTTAAATCAGAAAATTTTGTGCTATATATGATAAATAAAAGGGTGTGTATCATTTTCATAACCCTTAACTTTTGAATAGATAAATTAAGATCGAAATTTATAAAAACTTATTTGAAATTTAACATATATCTAAAATGCTCTTAGTGACTTTTTGTAATAAACCGACATTATGTAGGAATATATTTTATTTTATATAAGAATCACTTGTCTTTTTTTACCGCTATTTCACTGTTTGTTATGTATATTGTTTACTATGACAAATAGTCAAACATAGAGACATTTTTTCATAATTTGTTTATTTTCGAATAACAATAACGTAACAATAATAATATTGACAAAGGCTCATCGAAGAGGCTAAGGGTCACATCAAGCTGTAGGTAGCGTCATTAAAAGAAAAACAGAAATAAAGAATAATTAAATATATCTTATCTTCATTATAGTTTGAGTTTATAATGTGATTCCCATTGAAAGAAAAAAGAATTAAGTAAAGTTTAACTTTGTTATAGTTTGATTTCATATATGGTTCTTACAATGTTACTGAAACAAAAAAAATTACTATTTCAAATCTATAGTTTTAAACTTCAAATAACCAAATAAAATTAATGATAAAATATATAATATAAGAATTCATACAGATCGATATCAGTACACTTAAATGTTCATTTTTATTCATATATTTGAAAAGCATTGCAATTACTTTTAAGACAATTTTTTATTTTTTTTTTTTTTTTTATTTAATGAAATAAAAAAAAAAGCTTATTATTTTTTTATTTTAGGTGCTTCTCACACAGATGAAATAATTTATTTATGGCACAATAAGAACTTTGCCTCAAACTTGAAAGGGGAAGATTTAGAACTATCAAAGAAGCTAGTAAAGATATGGACTGATTTTGCCAAGTTTGGGTAATCAATATTAGTTTTTTTTTAGTCTATACCTTCATTACTTGATATTTTTAAAATGGCTTCAATCAGTCTCATGATAATACAGTACAAGCTCTATATTTGGAAATCTAACAAACTCAATAGTCTGAGAAACTCATGACATGTAATAAAAAAAAAATTGACAGAGAGGAATTTTCAATGGATGAGGATATTCTCTCACATCTTGTTTAACACATTTGTTTATGAAATCATCACTGAGCTTCCAAAACCCCGGCTCATGGCAGAAAATTTATTTATCTGTTTCATTGGCTGTGGGGTGACCCTGGGTTGGGAGACCTTCCTGGGGCACACCCAGCCTCTATAAAGTGGGTAATCTTAATTAAATAATTAATTAAGGGGAAAAACCTGGCGGTTGAGAGTGATCTCGGTCAAATCACCTCCTTGCACAACCGTTGACCAAGAAACGGTACTTTCCCTAAGTAGTACTGAACCCCAGACCCTTCATGGGTTGTAGTGGTACAGGTTTATGTAATCATATTATTTGTAAAGTATGGTTATCATTTTTTGGTAATAAAAAAAATATCTTTGTTGAAATAATGACCTTAATTCCTTATTTTGCATTGTTTAAATGCAAGCATGAGATAGTCATGAGAAAGGAATATTTGATAATCTTATAACTTGTTGGTCCCATAATTATCAGATTATCCAGATTCAACTGTAACTCTATTTCCAAAGGACATTATTCTCCAAATAATGAAGATAGATATTGACAACATTATGGGAAATTATGTACAGATGATCTGTATTAATATGACAGCCTATATAAGAGCTAATGAACCACTTTATTTTGCTGTTTTTTAAAAACAAAGATATAATGTATGTTTTTATAATATAATATAACATAATATATCAATGAAAATATAATATATTATATCTTTGTCTGTATTATCATGTTTTTCATTCCAGGAAAGCTATATCACCAAAAAACGTTGGTTCCTGGAAAAAGTGGAAAATAGGAGAAAATCATTATATGCAAATTACAAATTTAGGTTTCAAACCAGAACTCGGTCTTCTTGAAGATAGGTATAGATTCTGGAGCAACCTTAACTATAGGGATAAATACCCTTGGAACTGATGCAAGATTCAACTTAAAGATTTAATAATGTAATATAAAAAGAAAATATTGTGATTCATAATATAATAAAGAAATGATTAAACGTTCTTTATTAATCTATTCACTTTATTTCTCCCTCTCAATCGTCTGAATCTAAACAGTTTCTAATGAAAGAAAAAAAAATTGTAAAAAACAAACAGAAAGTGAAACACTTCTTTAATCAAAAATATTTGGTATTATCGAATAGTTCAACATATTTGTTAAATATAAATATATTAAACAAAATAAAATTGAAATTAAAGTTCATTGTTCAATGACATCTTAACTTATAATGGAATAGTAATTAAAATTTTTATAAGTAATTTTTTTAGTAAATGTTGCAATAAGATTTCTTTTGATAGACCTATGTTTGGAACTATCTCCATTTATCCATATATATTTGCTTGATAATTCACCTATTTAAAGAAATGAAAATAAACATGCAAGCTGTTATCAAATTGGATAAGTATGCCCGCATTTCTTACATTAATCTTCCAGCAGAACCATAGGACATCCTCAGAACAAGAATTTACAATATTTCAATTACTCAAATTCTTAGTTGTTCTGTGAAAATAACAAAGTGCACACTTGCAAGCTTTGTGACTATTTGTGACATTATTTTAATTCTTCAGTTTGTTTTGCGTTTCCATTCATAGATTATGTTATTTCAATTTTAATGTTTTAATAATATTATAGTTATATTTTTATAATATAAAAATTTAATAATATTTAAAACTTTGGATATTAATAGTAAGATTAAATTTTTTTTTGTCTGCATATTTTGAAATTGATCTAACAATAATTTAAAACATGTTCATAATTTTTAAATATTTATACAAATATTGTATGTTATTTTAGATTTTTTTTTTAAATTTATGAATTAGAACATTTAAATAAAATCATACGTATCATTTGTTACCTTTTATTTTGATTTATATTTCTTCATGAAATAATTCTGTTAAAATTTCATAACATTATTATTCAATTCAATGGTCACCTACTATTAGCTTATTTGTACCCTTTTTTATTAAGAGATATTTTTCAAAGTTATGAGCTGGGCCATTTATTTTATAATTATTCTTTCTTTTTATGCAAAATATGATTCTAAAACAAATTTATAGCATATTTGAATGATTTCCATGTTCAGATGTCAATAATTTATAACTCACCTAATAAGAGCAATACATATTTTTTAGCTTTTGTTTTTATTATTGATGTTATTACAATTATTTCATTTAAGTTTGACAAAGCATAAGTTTGTCGATATAGCTGATGAGATGTTAAAAACTTCGGTCAGTATCGACATCTGCATTAAAATTCTGTTTGAGAAGGCCTTCACATTAAACCAAATACTATGTTTTTAATACAATACGAAGTTTTAACTGAAAGTTAAAAAAATCAGATTTTTTTCATATTAGATTTTTAATAAACTCCTTACTTAGTGAAGTTTTAAACAATCATACATTCTTGATATTTATAAATCTAGGGAAATGTTCTAATATATTTTTTTATGTTATAATAATTTTATAAGAATTGTTGATTACATTAAAAGTGAATGAAACTTATCAATGTCATTATATATATTTTTATAAACTAAAATCAGACTAATAATTGAAGTGGTTTTATCAAAAGATAACAATCACTCATTTAGCTGGATTAGTATTGGAGTATGTGGAGCAGGGTAGCATTCACCACTTATTCATTACCAGTATGTTATTCATAAAATTATATCATGGTAGATATATATTATGAATAGATTCATGATAAAATAGTAAGCTTTCTGTTTTTTATTTATTTTCTAATATTTAAGTTAATGCATGTATTATGGTTTTAACAAATCAAAATCAGACAAATAATTAAAGTTGTTTTATCAAAAGCTAATAATTACCCACATACTAACTAAATTGGTAGTGTGTGGATATATCAACCTAGATCACAGTTAATAGCTATATGTGGAGTAGGCCAGTATTACAAGATAATAATTGACAAATTATACCCTACAAATTATGCTCTAGGTATTTCGTTGGGATTATGTTTTCAAAATTATGAATGTTCTTGGGCTCATTTATTACAAATAGGTTATTCATAATATTATATCATGTTAGATAAATGTTATGAATAGCTTGAAGGGAAGTTGGTTGTGGTGTTCAGAAAAATAAATATCATTTATTTATTTTTAATTTGTTTATTTTTGACTGAACACCCCAACCAACTTCTTTTCAATTATTCACTACAGTCAACCATCATACCACTGTTAAGAAGAGATATATGATAAAACGTTAAGAAGGTTTCTTTATATATTTTATTAATACTTCAGATAATGAATATATAGAGATTTATATGTCATAAAAATCTGAATAGAAAACAATTAAAAGATGATTATTTATTGATTTTAAATAGGTTTTCTTCAAAAGGGAAACCTGGTTTATGTATGCGTCCTATATCATGTTTTTTTTTTATAATAAAATAAATGAAAAATCCTTAATAAAGCTTTTCATGTTAAACTTCTTTGCTTTTATGTCTTAATTTATTCAGAATTAATTAATAGACACACACAAACATTATAATACTTATAACATTCAAAACAGTACGATGATATATTTTTTTTTGTTTGAATATTTTGTATTTTATCTGATAATAATTTATATGATCATGATTCATGAATATGTATGAATAAATTTCAAATTTATAGGAATAAAATAAAATAAAACAATGCTGCTTCAAATGATTGCTTTCCTGCTTTTCACAAAAGATGCCTTCTCTGATGATTCTCTTGTTGTGGATACAATGGAGGTACCCTCCGTGGATCCACATCCAAGTCTAGGTCTGGGCGCCAATATATTTCCTTCAAAGGGATTCCCTTTGCAAGACCGCCGATTGGACCTTTAAGGTTCAAAGTGAGTATCAAAAGATTTTTAATTGTATTCTTAAATTATTAGAAAGATCATTACTATATTTTTGAGACAAATATAAGCCTTTTGCACTTCTACTGCCATTTTTTTTTCAAATATATTGTTACTTACTCTAACACCTCAAATGTTTTAGATTCTCTCCAGATAGTTAAAATGAAAAATTATTTTATTCTGGGACTGTAGTCTCCTTAGAATAATAATTACAGTTAAAAAAATATGTACATTAGTATGGATATAGATATAATACAAATATATACAAAAAAATGCCAAGGAAAATGTATATATATATATATTTACATTTTCCTTGGCATTTTGGCATCCAATATATATATATGGGGACTGGGGTAGCCTTGCGGGCTAAGGCGCTTGCAAATAGGTAATCGAAATTAAACAACGCCGAACGTGGCTAGCACTTGGATGGGTGACCGTCCAACAAGGAAAGCCACGCTGCCCGATATTCCTCCCCTCCCGGGTATGTGAGACCCGTCAGACTACAGGATGCAACTCACACCGACTGGGAGTAGGATTGATGACCCTACCCCGTACTTTAAATCGGAAATCGGAATGTGGTTTAGGAACCCTAACTCGCGGCCAAGGATCTTCATGGTCTGTAGCGCCAACCGAAAAAAACAAATAAAATATATGTATATATATACATATACATGGGTGTGTGTCTGTATGTACACACACATATACATATACAAAAAATACCTTGGTAAAATACAAATATATACAAGAAATACTGAGAGAGAGAGACAGAAAAAAAAAGAGTGAGAAAATAAAATATCTCCTATCAATTAACAAGCCTGCGGAAGTTTGATTTTGTATTAGGTTGCGGAATAGGAGTTGTTTGAAGGAGTTTATGGACAAGGTTTGATATATGGAGATGGGTAAAGAATTCCAGAGGAAGGTAGCACGAATAACGAAGGGTTTGCTGAAGGATGTGATTTTATGGGAGAGGATATATAAATCTATAAGTTGAGATCTGGTGTTGAGAGAGTGGATGGAGGAGCTAAAGTAAGAAGTTCTAAGATATAGGGAGGATTTTTGGTTCTGAGGACTTGGAAAAGGAAAAAACCCATTATTTTCTACATTCTTTTATTACATGCGATGTTATTGCAAATATGTAGTAATTTAACATTTTAATTTTTAAATAAAACTAAAGAATAGAAAAAGCATGTAATTAACATGTGTACTTGTAACAATTGAGATGGCGCTTAATGATTTTGTTTCACAGCCTCCGGAAGAACCAATACCATGGTCTGGAGTGAGGGACGCCAAAGAGGACGGACCATTTTGTGTACAGTACATCACCTTACTACCACAGCCAAAGGCGACAGGAGAAGAGGATTGCCTACATCTCAACGTATTTACGCCTAATGTAAGCAATCAAAGAATCAGGATTAAATGTCTGAAAATAAGAAACGTAAAAAAACAAACATTCGATCTGAAAATAAGATATGTTAAAAATCAATCGAACGTGTCTTTTTTAAAAATGTTTTGATATTTAATACTTTATCTTCACTTTACTTCTTTATTTACACTTTAATACTTCAGCAAGCTAGAAAAAAAATAAACAAGAAAAACTCATAAATCATTCTAAATATCTTCAGATCCTCAGCAATGAAGAATATTCGTGTACTAATTGGAAAGGTTGTTAGTTGAGAATATAACAAATGTACTCTTAATTCTTTTAAAATTTGTATTCTTCAATTTTACAAGCTTGTTTGATTGGTTATTGTAAACTTTAGGGGAGGCTTAAATACAAATAATCAATTAAATTACCGTGTATTGCTACATGATGCACGAAGGAAGGGGTTGCCAAACCTATAGTACCACGGCGAGAGGGTGAAATGGGCTAAGATTTTATAATTGAAGTTAATAGGTTATTGCAAACTAAAATGTCAAAATATCTTCTGGTATATTGCATAAAGCTCACATTTACAAACATACTTTTATAAATCTATATGTCATACGGAAAGGAGCCCGGTATAGGTATATGGGAACCATGGTTCCATCCTTACAGTTTAAAACTTAGAATCATAGTTCAGTTTATATTTTATAATTTAGGCAACTAACAGAATTTTATATGACACAATTGATGTTATATATTACATTACAAAATATATAATTGTCGGTTAGAGTAAGCGTTCCAGTGATGGACATAGCTAAAGAAACTTTTGTCTTTTTTGGCTTATGCCGCCGTAATTATTATAGTTATAAACTTTTCCGTTGGACGATTACAATTTCTAGGGTCTCCATCTTTTATTAGGCATATTAAAATTTAAAAAAAAATATTCCGTTATGCAGGCATAATCTCTATTTAAAAAAACACCTTTTGCAGTAGTGGTGGATACCCCGAACTTTAATAGTTCTAGTAATGGACAAGGGGTCGGTACCAATAATGGACATACCTCAGAAAAATTCTAAATTTTTATGTATCTATAAAAATAACGATAAAGATAACATAACATAAATGTTCAACTTATTCTTAGCAAAACTGTTAGTAGAAAGGTATGAAACACACTAATCTCAAGAGAATTATAAAAACAACAATGATAAGCATTTTAAAATTTTCTTTTGGGAACTTTGTTCATACAGTTTTCAATAGAGGGCATTGTTCTTCAATCTAGTAAAAAACTGGAACCTTTAAATCAACAATTAAGGTATTATTATTATTTACATTTAAAGTTCAAGCTGTCCATCACCTGGCTCCCTGTCCATAACTTTTGCGTTCACCTATGAAACAATATTTGCGAAAACACAATATGTATATATATATATATATATATATATATTTTTTCCAAAAATAAACCATAGCAGTTGAAATGTTCTTTAGACGAATAAATAGACGAACACGAATAAATTAATTGAATCAAAATTTTTAAAGCATGAATTTCTAATATTGGATCTAGACATAGATATAATTCACACATTTTTATAAAACCTTTGGATTTTAATATATCTTACGATAAAATTAATTATATATGCCTCTGATTAAATATGTACTATATACATAAGTTCGATTTGATTATTGATAGATTAAAGGAAGACTGCCAGTCTTGTTCCATATCCACGGAGGAGGTTGGAGCAGGGGTGCCAAGACTATCACAGGTCCCGAGTTCTTGATGGATCAAGATATTGTCATAGTGGATACCAACTACAGACTGGGACCATTTGGTCGGTATAGTAAGCTTTTGTTTAATTCTTTTTAACGTATTTTTTTTTTATTTTTTTTTATTCATTGATATTTACAACTGCATTATAAAAAAATACAACTAGTAAATGTGCACTCAGGATTATAATAACATGAAATCGCTTGTTGAGAAACTAACCACTAACCATCAAATAATAAATTTACACAAGATCACGAGGCCACCTTCTTTTCATACGCCTCGGTGGGTTATCAGGAATCGGGGAAGAAGCAAGGTTTGAAACGAGAAGGTTCGGATGGTTCTGCAATTTCTTATTTATCATATTTAAAATAATAAATGGATTCGTACTCGTATATGTCGATCTTTGCCGCAAGAAGGGTCTATCTACGTTTCACACAACAGGGTCTCACCAATTTCTTGTATTTATTATCCTCTGTATCATCTTAAAAGTTTAATTTTCAGATTGCTTCTTGCAAGTTGAACGTTTTAGCTTCTCATAAGAACATAAACTAAAAAAAAAAAAAAACGTTCCACCGAAGTAAAAAATCTTTATAATCCTTCTTGCAGAGTTTTGCTACAGAGTCGATGTGTCAGAATGTAACATAATACAGAAGTTTATCAAATATTTTTTCTTTATTTGCTTTTTCATTAGACTAAGCATGGTACAGTTTGAAATTTATAAATTAGGAAACTGGTTAGGAACCTATTTATTAAGGTGGGTCACGCAGTATAATTTCATAAAAACATAATATACTAAACCTTCGATTTACTGAGGCCGAACAGATATGTAGGTAGTTAAATATACGTGTTTCATACGAAGAAGAGCTATTATTAATCGTCATGGACAGAAGGATAATATCGGCGTAGGCTTGGCAAAGGATAGCATATGTGATAATGTGAGTTTTAAAACGAATAATTCTAGTCAAAAACACAATCATAATTTTTTAATATAAAATGACTACTAAATACAAATTCTTATTTCATACTAATTAAAAAATATCGATTAAATGTCGTGATAGTCTCCTCAACTCCTCTCTCAGTTTTTACCAATTTTATAGCGGAATCTCTCTGACTATTCACGTGATACAGTTAAAGTGTATATCAGAGCAGTTGATATTTACTGTTGGCATCTTTTTTTTTTGTTATTTTAAGAAAAAAAAAAAAAAAAAAAAATTTTTTTTTTTTTTTTTTATTTATTTATTTATTTTTCTCTTATGATATGCGGTATGATCAGCAAGTGATGGCCAGTAAGGTGCCCAAGAGGTCTCGGTCAGACGGAGTTAGCTCACCAGCCAAACAAAGGACTCGTCGCTGCCTACGAGAAATACCTCCAGTGACCAAAATGAACACTTCAGAACCAGAACCTCAGCCCCAACCAGGTACGTCTGCACAAGAAACGATTGAAGAATCACCTTTCTTTACTCCAAACCCCTACCAAGTGCTTCAAAATGACAAAGAAGTAATGGAGTCTGCAGCAATACCCAGAGAACCAAAGCCTCCTCCGATATTTGTGAAAAATATAAAAAATTTCCAGATGTTCTGCACCCAACTAAATAAAATCTGCTCTGGCAGTTATTCATGCCTTAACAGGACCAATGACACCAAGATAACACCTGATTCTGCAGAAGCCTACCGAAAAATAGTGAAGTACTTATCAGAAACAAATGCGAATTTTCACACTTACCAGCTGAGGCAGGAAAGAGCTTTACGAGTGGTGATAAGAAATTTACATTCCTCAACCCCCACTGAAGTTATTAAAGAAGAACTAACGACGCTTGGTTTCAATGTACGCCAGGTAACAAACGTTTTGAAGGAGGACAGGGAGCAGCCAGGATTACGAAATAGGATCCCACTACCATTGTTTTTCGTGGACTTGGAGCCATCACCAGGTATCGAAAAAATATATGATATCACAAGAATATACTATACAATGGTGAAAGTTGAGAAGCCATATCCCAAGAGAGACATCGTGCAGTGCCATAATTGTCAGACCTATGGCCACACGAAGACATATTGCCACCATCTGCCGCGTTGCGTGAAGTGCGGTGAACAGCACAAATCTGTAGAGTGCACCAAACCTATACAAGATCCAGCAGTATGTGCCCTATGCTTGGAGGGACACCCGGCCAACTACAAAGGCTGCCAAATTTACAAGAATCTCAAAACCAGACACCAGAAAAACCGGATTCAAGATGAAGCACTAAGAACAAGAAGAGAGAGAGAGCCTTCCAGAATTGTAAACAATGATGTATCATTCTCCCAACTACTTAGAGGTAAGACTTTAACCGATAAATGTCAAGCCCTGCCACAACAACAACCTCAAACCCAACCTCAAAATCCTCTTCATCCTAATATACCTAACCACCAACAACAAATTCCTCATATTCCTCCTCCTTCAAATGCAACAGATCTCACAAGTTTGTTAGCATCTTTCCTCACCGATTTCAAATCCCTTGTTACTCCACTCATATCACTCCTCACGAATCTCGTATCTCACCTCATCCCTCCTTTGAAAAATCCTTAAATGACTCACATCCCTAAACCCATATCCATTCTCCTTTGGAATGCGAATGGTGTTAGAAATCATACAGACGAACTATCTACTTTACTACTTGACAAGAACATTGATGTGGCACTAATTACTGAAACTCGACTAACCACTAAACAGCACTTCAATATACCACAATACCTGACATATCGTACTGACCACCCTGACGGAAAAGCACATGCCGGTACTGCTGTAATTGTACACCAATCCCTCTCCCAACCTACTCCCATTACCAATACATGATTTCCTACAGTCCACCGCTATCGTGATAAAAACCTTCTCCTTTCCGGTCACTCTTGCATCAGCGTATTGCCCTCCTAACCGATCCATATCCAATGCCCAATTCAGTTCTCTCCTCGACTCCTTAGGACATCACTTCATCTTGGGTGCAGACCTAAATGCCAAGCACCAACAATGGGGTTCCAGAACCACGAATTCTCGTGGCCGAACCCTGCTGTCTGCACTCAATTCCCAACGTTTTCACCTCCTTTCCCCCAACTCTCCTACCTACTGGCCCACAGATCCCAACCGTAATCCTGATCTTTGATTTCTTTATCCACAGCGGCTTAAGTCCCCTCAATTGTTCCATTACACGTCTAAATGAACTTTCCTCTGACCATAGTCCTCTAATCCTTAATGTTTCACTTGAACCTGTTCCCAAACCTTCTCCACCGTCATTCATTAGGGGCCCAGTAAACTGGGACCTTTTCCGCCAAATAATCTCCGATAATATTGATCTCAACATATCCCTCAAAACTCCCGATGACCTTGATAGTGCCGTAAATTCCTTTACTACCACAATCCAACAAGCCGCCTGGACTGCCTCCTTTCCAAAAGACTCCTCCAGAATTCCTATAAAGACCATTCTACCCCAACACCTCCTTAACCTAATCCGCACCAAACGCCGTGCCAGATTATTATGGCAACGTACCCGACATCCTACCGACCGCTGCTCCTATAATTACTACTGCAAACAATTAAAACTGGAATTAGCCACCTTCAGATCACAATCCTTCAACTCCTACCTATCCTCCCTCTCTTCTCGCGACAATTCCCTTTGGAAAACCACAACAAAAATCCTAAATCCTCACCGCATTTCCCATCCTCTCCGACGAGGTGATGGCTCCTGGGCAGCATCTGACGAAGATAAAGCTGAGGAGTTCGCCATTCACCTATCCAATACATTTATTTCACATCCGGAATCCCATCCTGCCCACACCGTAACAGTAGAAGAACTCCTTACATCACCAATCCCACTTTCCTTGCCCCCAAAAGCTATTCATCCTTCCGAAGTAAAATTTCAATTAAAAAAACTAATCCTCCGTAAAGCTCCTGGACATGATCTCCTTACACCTCAAATCCTTCGACAACTTCCATCCAAAGCAGTCATATTCCTTACATATATCTACAATTGTATCCTACGCACCACCCACTTCCCTCTGTTATGGAAACACTCCACTATTATCCTTTTCCCAAAACCAGGAAAACCTCTCAATAGCTCAACATCCTATAGACCAATCAGCCTACTCCCAATCCTTTCAAAAATTTTTGAAAAGATCCTTTTGAAACGAATCCTACCCATTATAGAATCCCAAAATATCCCTTCCCATCAGTTTGGTTTTCGCTCTCAACATTCTACTGTTCAACAAGGACTCCGAGTGTTGATCATATTTCCTCAGCCCTAGAAAACAAGGAATACTGTTCGGGTGCCTTTCTGGACATTGCACAGGCATTTGACCGGGTATGGCACTCCGGACTGCTCTCCAAGCTTAAAATCCATTTACCTCAGTCCTTGTACCTAGTCCTCCGATCCTACCTCTCTGACCGCTCCTTTCGAGTTCGCTGTGGAACAGAATTTTCCAATATCTACTCCGTTAAAGCCGGTGTTCCCCAAGGCAGCGTCTTGGGTCCCGTGCTTTACATCCTCTTTACTGCTGACATCCCTGTTCATCCCGATACTTTTCTTGCAACATTCGCTGACGACACCGCAATCTTATCATCCAACTCTGATCCCGAAATAGCATCCTTAAATCTCCAAAGTCATCTCACCTTGATTGAGCACTGGTGTAATAACTGGCGCATTAAAGTTAATGAATCTAAATGCCAACACATTACTTTTACACTCCGACGCAATTCCTGTCCACCAGTACTCTTTAATTCCATCCAGCTTCCTTATTCAGACACAGTCCGGTATCTTGGCTTTCATTTAGACCGAAGACTAACTTGGAACCCGCATACTAGACTCAAAAGACAAGAACTCAACCGACGATACGGCCAACTATACCGACTACTAAGCAGAAAATCTAAACTTTCCATTGAAAACAAGCTACTGATCTACAAGACAATACTGAAACCTATTTGGACTTACGGACTAGAACTGTGGGGATCAGCAAAATTTTCTAACATCAAGCGCATCCAATCCTTCCAGTCTAAAGTCCTTCGAACAATAGTCGATGCTCCTTTCTATGTATCCAACAAAACCCTACATCATGACCTTAACATCCCATTTGTCCTAGACCTTATCCCAGAAAAGTTCTCCAAATTTCACCAGAACCTTACTTACCACCCAAATCCTCTTGCACAATCCCTATCAAGCATCTCCCATCCCTATAATCCTCCAAGAAGGTTGAAACGGCAGTGGCCTCGCGACCTTTTGTAAATTATATAAATTGGAGTTCTGGCAATGGCCAGATTCTTCACTCAAGACATGTGTGTATGTGGCTAAAGTGCTCTCGACCAATCTCCGCTGGCTTTAGTACCAGTGACGCGGTTGGAAGAGTAGCGCAGGGTTCTCCTGGAGTTCCCTCGCCTGATTGTATATAGGTATGCATGTTATTTTTTTTTTTTTTCCTTAGTTTTAATTTTCTTATTTTTTAGGTTATTTTATTTTATTGTCTATTGTATATACTTTTGATTATTATTTTGTTCTATTTATTTTATTTTTTTGTACATATGGTGTGAATGTCATCCTACCTCACTATAACCAATGTCGAACAGACAGATTGTTATAATACTCAATAAAGAAATTTAAAAAAAAAAAAAAAAAAATGTCGTGATAGAATGTTTTTTTTTTACAACTCTTATTGAGTAATAATAAAGTCTACCACACCGTAGCACGGAAACTATTAGGGCTACTGGTGTTCATTTACACAATATATACATAATGAAGACAAATAAATATAAATAATTAAAAAAAAATAAAAGTAAAGCAATAATAATGGTAAATAAAAATAAAATTGTATATAATAAAATGATAAAATTCTATCGAGCACGTAACCAACGGATATGAGACTTTGGCTGGTGGCCAAATTATATAGTCAAAATACATCATCAAAGTATATGCCGAGCTTTAGATCTACTGGGCAATGGAATGTCCTGCTTTCGATATATCTCAGAAACCTTACAGAAAACAGCAGTGTAGAAGTTTATTAGGATCGAAATATAATAACGGACTATAGGATATTGCATAAACATCCAGATATTTTGTTTATACACATAAATAAAACTTCTATTATCATAGATATAGTACTACCCAGTGATACGAACCTTGTAACCACCAGGACCTAAAACATTCGACTAGCCTTAGAGATAAAAAAAGCTATACCATTTAGAAAAAGTTAAAATTATGCCCATAATAATATCTTGGAATGGTCTAGTATTGAAAAGTACAATAGAGGGTATCAAAGATCTTGGACTCAACAGATTTAAAAAACAGCTCAAAAAGCAATCCTGCTTGATACGTGTAGGATTGTAAGAAACTTTTAAAATAAATAAATCTTTCAGCTACATTCTCTTGAAGGATTTTCTTCCGAGATGTAGATATTCCAGATATGTTAGAAAGCAGAGAAGATAAATAATAATAAAATTGTGTATAAATAATGATAAAATAAAACGAAAAGAATACATGTATTTAAGAAATAAATTATATTGATAAACAAATTATTATTTTTTAAAAATCTATTTTAATGAAATTTACAACTGTATTACATGAAAAATACAACAAGTAAATGTGATATTGGTAACATGACATGTACAACATGAAGAGAAACTCAAAAATTGGTAGAACTCCAATCAAAGTTCTATATTAGAAGGTCCCGAGGCTATCATCTTCTTTTCAGACGCCTCGGAGGGTTATCAGGGATCGAGGAGGAAGGAAGGTTTGAAACGAGAGGGTTTGGATGGTTCTGCAGTTTGTTTTGGAAGGATAGGTATCTGGATTGGGCCAAATCGGAAACATATGGAACATTATGGATGATTTTATTTGTGACAAAGTAAGGAGCGTTGAGGATTTTACGAAGGATTTTGGATTGTAAGGATTGGATACGAGAGGAATTCGATGGTTTAGTGGAGTCTCAAAGCTCAATTCCGTTAGTCCAAATAGGTCTTATTATTGTCATATATATGAGTCGTTTGTAATTGATTGAAAGCTTAGAGCGTTTGTCCAGTAAGTGTTGCAGTAGTCGAAAACGTCCGACGGTTTCTAGTCGTTTCAGTCTGGTATAGGGGTTAAAAGTGAGTCGTTTGTCCAGGTGGAGTCCTAGGTATCGGATTTGTTCGGCAGAGATAAGAGGGCTATTGTTGAAAGATACTGTAGGACAGGAAGTCATAGGTTTATGACGAAGATTGAAGTTAATTTGATGGAATTTATTGGAATATATTTTAATCCTCCAGTTTTGACACCATTTTTCAAGACTTGTGATGTGTGATTCAAGAGTTCCGGATGCAATAAATGGATCGTTATTAACTGATAGGATAAACGTGTCATCGGCATAGGTGGTGATGACAGTGTTGGATTTAAACAATAGCAAAATAAGTAGGCAACAAATAAAGAAAACTGATTTAAGTTGAGTGATAACTAAATAACTTTTTTGGATGAAAAATCAGGGCTCAAAGGATTCCCAGAACTTCTCTGCTAGCTGCATTATTGCTATTGAAAGATTATTAAAATATAGATTTGGCAAATTAAGTATATTAATTAAATTATAAATTATTATCTTAAATAAATTATCATCTTTATCATGTACTGCCATGAATGATGTATTGTTAAGTATTTTAAAAAAATACAGTTATTTTCTAATTTAGAATTAAGAAAAAGGATATTGAAAACTGAAATGATTTTTATTTATGAAATGTATTCATGGGAATCTTTATGGCTTTTAAACCTTATTTTATGATTGATTAAATTTAAATATATGTACCGATTAGATTGAATCCGAAAAGGTGTGAATTACCGAACTTTAGTTTTGTTTCAGGCTTCCTCAGCTTTGAAGATGAAGTGATGCCTGGCAATCAAGGGCTGAAGGACCAATTGATGGCACTCCGTTGGGTAAAAAGAAATATCGCCAAGTTCGGCGGAGATCCAGACAGAGTGACTATAGTGGGTGAGAGTGCTGGCGCGGGGAGCGTTTTACTCCACATCGTGAATCCCCTCAGTAGGGGTGAGTGATATAATGTCAAGGAAATGTTTTAGGCAATGACTATCTGTGAAAAAAGTCCTAGATTCTATAGGTGTGGTTCGAATTCAAATATTGAACAACATTTGTTTTGATTTTTAGGTCTTTCCGTAAATCTTAAATACTTACAAAATACTTAAGAACTGTTTGACAAGGGGATTTTGCATTTGCGTAAAGAATGAAGAAAGGTAAATCTGCGATCGAATAAATGTGTAGACCCACAATGAGTATTGTAACTATCTTTAGAAGATCGTGACTGAACTGGGTGTTCCTGAAAAGTTGGTGAGATTGGTGAAGGCGTGTGCAAATGATCCTATATGTCGAAGCGTTCTATGCCATGCTGGCTTTAAGCAGGATGAAGGACTCTCGCTGAAGCCGTATCACTTAAACATGGAAGGATAGAAGTCGGAATGAATCATAAAATCCTTTGATATGCGAAATATATGTCAATGGAATATGTCAATGGAAGCAATCGAGATGATAATAAGAGGCTTGCTAAAGCTCTGATAAGAGAAGTAGAGCAAATTGGTCTACAAGTAAAGAAGAAGAAAAATTATGATTGTAAGCAGAAAATTTTAGACAATCAAAACATGATTTGCGTTAGCAGAGATGGAGAGAACTATAAATATATATATATATATATATATATATATATATATATATATATATATATATATATATGTATATATATATATATATATATATATATATATATATATATATATATTTTTTTTTTTTTTTTTTAAACATAGTTATTTAATTGGGAATAAGGCCATTTCAATAAATTAATAAATTATTCAATAAACTACTAAACGTCCATTGCTTCTGCGTTTATTCGACGTTTCAAACCCGGTTTTTTATAAGTTAACAATGGGATCCTCTTCAAAGTTTTAAAATAGAGCCTCGATACCTCAGGCCAGGGACACACCGACAGTCTCAGCACCGTTCACCACCACATATATTAAACTACTATATTATATATTAACCGTATATAATATTATTATATATTAATATGGACATATATTAAGAGTAGCTTAATTTGTACTGTACCAAACACAGCAAGCAATGAACATTTAGTAGTTTATTGAATAATTAATAAATGACCTTATTCCCAACTAAATAATTATGTTAAAATTTAATACTCAAAGGTCGATTAAAGAAAAGTTGTATATATATATATATATATATATATATTATATATATATATATATATATAATATATATATAATATATATATATATATATATATATATATATATATATATATATATATATATATATATAATATATTTATTAATAGGAATATGAAGGAGGTACTTATCACCCCAAGGTCGATGGCACAATTTCTCCCTCACACTCAAGAAATTTTATTCCTCACGTCATATGAAAAAGAGAGCAAGCGAAAGTAGCTTGAGAAAAATTTGAAAGTTCCTCCAAATTGATATCCGACAAAAATATGGCTTACTCCGAAAATTCATAACCTCGTCGGAATGTGCCCCCCTCCTAAAAAATTTAGATGACGCAAGTTGCGCCATGCGACCTTCTGGTTCCTTCTTGCCACCCCTGGGAATATGTTTTTCAAAAATTTTCAAGATATAATTACTATAACCAGGACAACATTTTTATATTTTTTTCGAAATCAACATTTTTAATATTTTAAGAAATTAAGATTGTGTGTCAAATTTTATAGGAAAACTTTGTATGAAACCTATAATTTTATCGGTAACATTTCTATTCCATAAACCTCAGAGTTTCTAAATTGTATAGGATTGTTCAGCGGAGCTATCGCTCAAAGCGGAAGTAGCTACAACGTATGGTCTGTTAGTCCTCCTGGTGTTGCCAGAGCCAGGGCTAAGAGACTGGCCAGCCTGATGTCATGTCCTTTGAAGGACACGAAGCAAGTCGTTGCCTGTCTTTCTAGGAAGGATCCTACAGATATTATCAAGCAACTTAGATATTTTTTAGTAAGTGTTACACCTGTATAATATTTTTTAAAACTTGCGGTACTTTCTCTGTAATGTAGGAACTATGTATCTTGTTCAGAAAGCTTGGCCAATGAATAAGATCAAAGGTTTAACGTCATATAATACAATTTTGTACTATATATGAGGATATAAGGAACACAACTCAAAAATATTTTTTTGTTAGACCAAACATTAAATAAAAGTTAAGCTCTTGATAGAAGCCCTCAGAGTGTTTCTACAAACCCATGTTATTTATAGATCAACTATTGTTCCTGTTGGTATTCCTGGCTGTTCCTTTTGATGATAGGGCTCTAACAATTATTGACGTTACAAAATATTAGATTGAGCCCCTTAATATATTGAAATGAAATGAAAATGAAAAATTTTTTTTATTATCCTGGGACTGTTGTCCCTTTAGGACAAATTACAGATACAGAATAAATGCCTGTGTGGCCATACATAAAATTAATTATTTACATTTATTATTAAGATTAAGATTTTGAAAAAATAATAAAACAAAAAATATAACAATCACACTAAAAACATTCTGATATGTATAATACAAACTATATAATAAAATAAAATAGCATAAGTAAAGAAAATCATTTCTGGGGGAACTTTAAAAGTTCTCTTATCTACATTTCCTGATCAATCGGGTTGGGAAAGGAGTAGGTGGTTAAAAAGGAGAGATTTAAATGAGGAAACTGATTGTACATGTCGGATATCAGGAGAGATGGTATTCCAGAAGGAGACGGCTTGAATTATAAAGGATTTGTCAAACGCTGACGTTCGGTGGGGAGGTGGATAGAGGTCGGAGGTACGAGATCTAGTGAGACGGGATTGAATGGAATATTTGAATTGTAGGTTGTGAAAAATATAGGAAGGCCGCTGAGTTCTGATGACTTGGTATAGAAAAGTGGCAAGGAAGTACAAACGGCGGTTGGATGGATAGAGCCACTTCAACTTGATGTAATACTGGGTTATATGCGTATCTCTTGAGATTCCGAAAACAAAACGTATTGCGCAGTTCATTAGGCGTTTAAGTTTGGCCTCGAATTCTCCGCCGTACACCAGACAGCCATAGTCGAAGTGGGGGAACACAAGGGAGGAAACCAGGAGTTGTTCAGGAAAAGATTGGGGAGTATCTGTATGGATTTGAGGAGTGAGGGAGATCCGATCAGAATGGTTTTCGTCTTATTGGCGTTTAGAGTAATCCTATTGTGATTTGCCCAGGCACATATTGCATTTATATCTTCCTGTAATTTTGGATTCGGTTGGATTGAAGGAGAGGTAAATCTGGACGTCGTCGGCGTACAGATGGTATTGACAGTGAAGGATAGAGGATGAAAGGTCATTGATGTAGATGGAAAAAAGGGTTGGAGATAAAGAGGAGCCTTGTGGGACACCCCTGGACAAAGGTAAAGGTTCTGATGGAGGGTTATTGGGGACTACAACATACGGGGAGCGGTCGGAAAGGAAGGATTGGAACCAATTAAGGGTACTAGTTCCGAAGGAAATATTTTTAAGCTTGGTTGGGAGAATTTTGTGGTCTACTGAGTCAAAGGCTTTGGAGAAGTCAAGAAGAATAAGGATGGTGAGTTTCTGCTGGTATTGGGAAATTTTGATGAGGGCAGACTGAGTGGAGTAGCCAGGCCGGAAACCGGACTGGTTGGGATTTAAGAGGTTATTCTGTTCTAAAAAATCTGATACCTGGGTTTGAACTAGACGCTCTAAAGGTTTAGAAAGATTTGAGAGGAGAGAAATTGGACGGAAATCATTGAGAGTTGATGGGTTGGCAGTATTTTTCATAGGGCGAACTAGTGCGGTTTTCCAGGATGTAAGAAAGGTAGCATTTTGTAGTGAGTAATTGTAGATATGGTAGAGGATTGGAAGGATGGATGGTAGTGAGGCTTTGATCAGTCTGACTGGGATATTATCAGGTCCATAATCATTGGTTTGCGACTTATGAATGGAGTTAAGGAGGTCATCAGGTGTAATATGGGAAAAAAAGAATTGAGGAAGATTAAAATTTATAGGGAAACATACATATTTTGTATGTATAGCACACTGATAATATATCCTAACAGTGTGATATCCATTAAGGCAATACATAGAAAAAAAGCCTTCAGTAGTATGTTTTAAACTATTAAGGTCAACTGATATATATATATTATATAAATATATATATAATTTGTAACGTTGTAGAAGTCTCATTCTCCAAAATATGGCAATGTCGCCCATCTTAGCTTGAAAATGGTAATCATCTCACGAATTCTGTTGGTTTTATATACCTATGTCACTACTTTCCAACTATTGTGGCTTTCATTGCTGAGTAGAGACTTCCTCATGAATCGCTTCGCGACTGCTTTGCGATTTAAGGTATTGCTTCTGTTATTGTTCAGAGGATGTTACCCTCAAAAGTTTCAGTTCTTCTTTCGAGGATGATGGGTACAGCCCACGTCTCGCAATGTATCGTCAACTGTTGTTTTCATAGCATGGCACATTTTTAATTTGAGTTTTTCGGGATGTAAATCCTTTAGATAATTGGTGATATATATTTAATATACTATACCTTTCAACCATACTGTATTGTAGTGAGAGCTGGGTACTGTTAGACAGCCAGCTGGCCAAACCAGAAGAAATTTCATCGGAAACAAACGGATTAGTGATGTCAAGGTGCCTCCAATATTAGAAACTGTGGTTGGCTCATGTTATGAATATGAACGGTAAAAGATAAAAGAAATTTCTTGAAGTAAGGTCCACAGAAATGAGGTTAAGAGGACGACTGCGGAAAAAACTTGGGTGGATGAAATAATCAAACCGAGAAAGAAAAGAGTGGGCTTCCATACTGAACGACACTGAGGAGGAAGGAAAAGAAGAAGATTCATTTATGGAGGTAATTGTGTAGCCGAAGTATTTGAATCTATCTACTCTTAGGAACAATTTTTATATAACTTGTTTCAAGATGGGTTACTATTATATATTATTTATTTTCATTTTTTTTTTTAAACTTTTATTTCTCTATTAAAAAGCCAAACCTCCGCTCATGTCATGTGCGTTTGTGACTATAGCGCTCTCCCTCAACCTCTGACTGGCTTTAATACCAGGAACGCCGTTGAGAGGAAGCGTTATAGTGTTCCTAGAGTCCTGATTTTCTCTCCAAAAGAGAAGATTTAAGTCTGTTTCGAAATTCCTCTGGCGGAAAAATAAAATCCCATGGTTAAAATAAAGATTAATTTAAGTTTATTTGGACCAGTTAATTTGGACTTCAAATCAAAAATCTACAAAGAAACCGCAATGGATATGTCATACATTTATTCTATAAATGGCAAACTTTATGCAAATATCTTTTCTCGTTTTAAAAGTTTTGGAATTCGGAAGTTACCTATTTTTGTTAGAAGAGGTCTTGCATATTCTCTGGGTTCTCCTAAAGATTTTAAAATTCGCAGACCTACCTCTGACAGATATATTGGTCAAGAATGTCTTATCCTTTGTACTTTTTCGATGTTTTCTTTTACCCATTCAAAACCCCCTAAAATATGTTAGTTTTATACATATCCTACCAAATCAGTCATTAATAATTGTATCCGTTAAAGCAATGGCAGGTAGACCCTATGATAACGTTTCAACCATCTCTTGAACCAGCTGGACCGGAAGCCTTTCTCACCGGACCGATAAAGAAGTGGAAGCACGCTCCAGTTCCACTCCTCTTAGGGCTTAATTCTGCAGAAGGATTCGTAAGGACTAGATGTAGGTCTTTTATTACCAAACGTATGGACTTCCTAACAATTAGACATCTAAATAATTTCAATAATTTATTTTAGACTTCCTCAAAATGAAAATGGATTTCAAGTGGTTGAGTGACTATTTCGATAATGTAGCTGCTTTATCTATTGATTACGTACACAGTGCTATAAATCCCATTGAGGTGACCAAGAAGATCAAGAAATTCTATTTTAGTGATGGAGTTATCACTGAATCGAATTGGGAGAATGTTACTAACGTATGGTGAACGATTGCAATATTTGATATTTTAAAATATTTCAGGTATTGAAACATAATTGTAATGCCATGATCATGCGCAGTTGTATTCTGACGCGTGGTTTACTGCGGGTGTGTTGGAGGCGGCGGACAAACATCCTGGAGATGTCTACTTCTATTATTTCGACTATTTGGGGGTTCCTACTTCGGGACCTTCTGATCCTAGTCTAGCTTTTGGTAAGCAGCATCTAATTTTATAGAATTAATTATTAATTATAATTGTAATTAATTATACATACTTATAACTGAACCACTTATACAAATTGTTGAATTAATTTGCTTTGCACTAATAAAAAACAAACAACGGTATTAAACATTTTTGTTAAACTTGTAAAATAGAGTATTATAGTTTTAATTTTTTTTAATAATACCAAGATAAAAATAACAAGTAAAAAAATGAAATCATAATAAAGCTATTAAGTGAATTGAGAAGGATCATAAGTATTAAAGTCGTATATAAAAGGAAAATAGAAAATATTTTTAAAAAGAACATATTTTAATAATATTTAACAACATTTCCAATTATCTAATGAACCGAATCTGTACTTGAAACCATAGAAGAAATGCATCATTTATTGTCATTTTATTTTTTAATTCTAAGTATAATATTTTTATGAACTGTACACTATTTCTGTAGTAAATACACTACGAACTGTAGCAATTTCTTTGCAATTTTATAAAGCGTGAAACAAAGAAAAAATAAAATCAATTTTTAACATTTTTCTTTCCAGGCGCTGCCCACACTGATGAGGTATTTTATATTTGGAAACGCGGGTTCCTTTCATATAACCTTACAGAAGAACAAGAAGAATTTTCAAAGAAAATGGTAAAAGTGTGGACAGATTTTGCCAAGTATGGGTAAGTCATTATATGCAAAGTGTTTCAGAACTATTTCATACCACAATGCTTATTTATATACATTTTTTTTTGCTTGCGGGACACCCAGTCAGTGTTTCTGGACCACATCTACTGGACTGGTCTGTTTTAGCGAAGATTTTCTTTTATTTTAATTTAAATCTCTAAGTGTTATCTGCAAAAACGATTTAGGCATTAACTTTACCTACCACATCTTTTCTGTTTTATTCCAATAAATCATTTAATAAAATCTCTTCCTGGTCTAGACGTTTGGTATTTCATTTTAATTAAATAGTTAATAACAAACGTATTAAAAAGTAATCCAATTCAAACTGGAATCATGATTTCATTCTTGGCAATTTTCATTCTTTTTCACATTTGTTATTTTTAGCTACTATTAAATGACGGTACTGAAAACGAATAAGAATCCAATTTCACAAAGCATCTAGTTCTTTTATGGACTATTTTTTTTCAGAAGTTCTGAAGAAGTTTTTTTTTTTTTTTAACTGGCCATTAATGTCTTTTAAAAAAGGCAGAAACGTTTTAATGTATTAATTAAATCACTACTTCATAAGTTGAAAAAAAAACTTGGTCTATAAAATTGGTGTGAGATGCTCGAAAGGATGGAATTGATGGAACAGATTCTAATCGCATAGGCAACTATACCACTTGTTCTAATTTTAAAATGATGAGATAAAGTAAATACTGAGAATAAGACATAATAATTTTTCTTCTTGATTTTTAGAAAAGCTATTTCTCCTACAAATCAATTGGATTGGGAAAAATGGTCTAGAGAAAGGCACAACTTCATGTACATCAGCAACCAAGGTTTCTTCTTAAAAGAAAAATTACTTGAGGACAGAAATGAATTTTGGAAAAGTCTTAATTATAAAGATAAATATGAATAAGATATGTAAATACAGTTGAAGCGAATATTGATGACATTTTTATAAAGGCCCGTACATTCTAGGAAGAGTTTACGCACTATGTCGGATCAGATCAGTGTGTCTAGCTCCAACTTCGAATCCCTTTGCAGATAAACTGCATCTAATTAAATTACGATTTTTAAAATCAAATCTCGATTGGTATTAACATTTTCGTTATTATTTATACTTATTATTAATAATATATTGTATTGAAAAATAAAATAATAATATTGTTTTTTAATTACAATTCTATTTTTTTTTATGTTCCTATTTTATTTACTTGTATGATTTCTTATTTTATCAATAAAAAAATAAAGCTGTAGCAATAATGTAGTAAAGCTGTGTACTCGAATTCCAGAGGACATCATTTAGCGTTGTAATGGATTTTTTTCATTCTTCAATATTTTATGCATTTTTTAATGTTTTTGTATCCGTGGCGAGAGTAGTTGTTCTTATCTTTTGTTGTTAATATTTAGCCTCTATGTTTCATCAGACTATATTAGTTTTCTGATCAGGTATTTTATGCCCACGTATTTGATGTTTATCTTGGGCTAGAATTACATGATCGTCAGCAAACATTATCATCTGTAATGAGATAACTATAATGATTTTAAATATTAATAAAATACTGACGAAATAGCTCAGATTAACTGAATAAAATGAATAATTGCGAAGTTACAGATTATTCCATCATTACAAAAATTATATAGCTCTACATTGCATTACAATTACAATTATAGGTGTTTCATTGAATACTACCAAATTAAACCATATGGAAACCAATAATGTATAATATTTTTTCAAATATGGATTATTAACAAAGTTGTAATTAGCTCAAAATTTTAATGTTTTCGTAATTATAAAATTTCATCAATCCAAAGATGATTCATTTTTCTAATTGAAAATTCGTAATAATGAAAGGAATTTTGAGACAGCGTACGGTAATTTGTTGGTGGAGCGAAGTAGTGGGAAGCTCCAACTCAGGAAATCACAGGAGATAATAATATATAGCTGCAGATAAACATTGCTGTAGGTCACACGGTTATTCTGCGGTCTACACCATAGGAGGTAAGTAAGTCACAATGCTCAATACGTTTACATTAGATAAAAATATAATTATAAGAAAGTGAATAGATGTAAATGTACAATAAAAGAGTATATTTGGAACTATCTCTCAAAAAATTTCTTCGGGCGGATGTCAATACTATTGTATGTTGTGGAACGTTCCAAGTGGAGTGGTGAACGCATGAATTGGCAATGAGACCTATCAAAATGTTAATCAACAAAACAGGACTTCTGAGCTGGGCTGCTGAAGTATGTGATCTAAGCTTGTGACATATCTCTAGTTCAACTATATAGCATCTCTAAACCTACAATCTCACCTCTCCTTGATTGAGCAGTGGTGCAACAACTGGCGCATCAAAATCAATGAATCAAAATGCAAACATATCACTTTTACCCTGCGACGCAGATCCTGTCCGCCAATCCTTTTTAATTCAATTCCACTTCCCTACTCAGACACAGTCCGTTACCTTGGCTTCCTTCTTGACAAAAGACTAACTTGGAACCCACATACCAGACTTAAAAGACAAGAACTTAACCGACGATATGGCCAGCTGTATAGATTACTAAGTACCACATCCCATCTTTCGATTGAAAATAAACTTTTAATCTACAAGACCATACTGAAACCTATCTGGATCTACGGACTTGAACTGTGGGGAACTGCTAAACATTCGAATATCAAACGCATCCAATCCTTCCAGTCCAAAGTAATTAGAACAATAGTCAATGCCCCATATTATGTCACAAACAAGACCCTACACCATGACCTTAACATCCCATTTGTCCTCGACATCATCCCAACCAGATTCTCAAACTTTCACCAAAACCTTATCCATCATCCAAATCCTCTAGCTCAATCCCTATCCAGCTCCCTTCATCCCTACAATCCTCCAAGAAGGTTAAAGCGGCAGTGGCCCAGAGATCTCTTGTAAATATGCTTATGGAGTCCTGGCAATGGCCAGCTTCTCCACTCATGTCCCCAGCGTCTGTGGCTCTAGTGCTCTCTTTCAGTCTCCATTGGCTTCTAATACTAGTGATGCGGCTGGAAAAGTGACACTGGGATCTCCTGGAGTCTTGCTTTGCCTTCCACATGTGGGGGAAAAAGCCTGGCTCGGAGATTCCTGGGCGAATGTATATATTTTATATAGGTATGATTGTGTTTATAAGTTTCTATTTTATGTTATTGTTTACTTTTTTTTCTTTTATTTACTTTCTTCATCAGTATTATTTATTTACTTTTTATATTTATATTTATTTCTCTATTATGTGTATATATTGTTTGAATGAGAAACTCTTATTCCTAATACTTATAGCCCTCCAGCAGTGGCTGATTGTATTATTATTCAATAAATAGATAAAAAAAAAAAAAGTTCAACTATGCCACCAATAGACAGGTTTTTCTGGAGTAAACTTTCGTTGCTTCGATTAGGCTGGCGTTGAGATCTCTGAATGAAGGTTACTATTTGGACTGAGGAAAACTAGTCAGCCGAAGAATTTAGAAGGATACAAAATGCCGAATAGCGTCATCTAAACTAAATAAATATTATTATAAATTGGGGTAATGACCGATAAGATAACGAATCACTGATAAGGTAATTAGCGCTTATCCGACGCGCTGGCTTTTTACAGGTCATACGAAACACAGATGGAAGGATTACGTGAGAACTTAGGGATTAGATATTTTATTCAATTCAGTCGAAGAATATTGTGGGTAGGGAATGTTGGTATCATTGACTATCTATATTTCTAATATTCGGAACCATAAAGAATTTTATTATTTTACAAAATTAATCTTGATAATATAAGATTTTCTCCCAAAATTCCTTTCTTTGAATTTATTGCAGGCGCGACCGTCTATTGTTGAGTGGGGTTGTTGAAACATTGGCGGAGGTCAGGCACGTAGCCAAGAAGACTTGGGAAGGGCTTCAGCCCTTACCTAGAAATAATTTATTTTAAATTTCTAATCAATTTTATGTATGGAGAATAACAACCGAGTTAATTCTCTTTCAATTAAATTAAACCGGAAAAATTACAAGGATTGTGAAACATAAGCTCCATCGTTGACAAAATTTCTGCTTCAGTCCTGGTTAAGTTCTGTAATACATGAGCTGTTTAGAGGTGGAGTCAGATAGGCAGAAATAAGACGACAGATCCTTATGAAACAGGGATCAAGAAAGATAAATATTTTAAGGATTGCCTTGGCATTGAGAAATGATTTAATCTGAAAAATCATTAAAATATATCATGACTGGATTAAGATTCTTACAAAATTACAAGATTCTTACAAACCGCCAAATTTGACCATATGACAACTAACCAAAGCAATCCAAAGTATGAAATCGCTTGATGTTGGTATTGATTTTCAGAAGTTATAGCTGTATAATATATCTTCCTTTGCGATGAACACGAGTCTGAACTAATTACTGCATGCGAACACAAATACCCATAGTTTCATCGAAAGCAGTTCACAAATTTATAAAAACGAGTGGACGAAGGAAACGATTATAATTGATTTATTAAAAACATTTGAGTTATAGAGACAATGAGATTAACAAACAATGAAAAGGTGCAGCAAAATAACAAAAAAAAAAAAACATTTAAAATTTCATCGGAAAAAACATAAACAAAATCTTTCAGAGGATTTACTATTAGACATTAGCCCATTTTTAAAATATCAGGACTAATATCACTTTTAAAATTCAATTATGATTTTTTTTTTTAAATTTAGTTACGGTATTGTATGAATATTGATGAACATGATAATGATCGTGGTCATTACAATGTGATCCTGATATTGGTTTTACGATTTTTTATTCATTTATATATAAAATTTAGAATATATTTTGGAATGAATGCATTATTTTATGCATTAGAATTTCGCTTTATTTTGGATTTCGCGCCCTTTAGAACTAGCTAATTTATTTTTAAATTGCAGATTGCTGTTTTCTATAGTACTAAGCTGTAAGAAGTCATTTAAGTAGTTAATCGCATAAGGAATCAGGAATAATTTTATTTTTATTTATTATATGAAAAAAAAGAATATAACATAAAGCAGAAATTCTCAGTTTAGAAAATTTTATCACACCTGTCTTTGCATAATTAGATATATATCTGTGGGTGTTTTATATGGTATACGAAATATAGAAATTACAATATGTAGTATAATGTTTCAGTTTAAAGAGAAGACCTTGACAATATTATATTCATAGTGATAGTATCTCCTTCTCAGCACATCTGTATCAGGAAAATGCGGATAAAACCAATATCGATAAGATATTTTGATACGGCAATTAATTAATATTTAGATAATAGTTTTGAAGTTCTTCTGCTTATAGAGGATATCAATCTCAATATCCGATAAGATAATAATCTCCATATCGAATTAAACTTTTTCATTTTCTTCAATTAATTATTACCAACATCATTCCAGGAAGATGTATACGACTCAGATTAGTGTTGTCTTGCTGTTGGCGATAACCGCTTTTGCCGACGATGCTCCTGTTGTGGAGACTACAGCTGGATCCGTCCGTGGCTTCACCTCCACATCAAGGTCCGGTCGGCAGTACTGGTCGTACAGGGGGATACCGTTCGCCAAGCCTCCTCTTGGAAAACTGAGGTTCAGAGTAAGTCTTATAATTCATATTGTTCTATTCTTAAATAGTCCTCCATGTCCGTGTGAAATATGGTTATATGTTCAAGTTTATATTGTAACGTTAAAATCTTATTGTAGCCCTTTCAAGGTAACTTTTGTCTCTGACAGTTCGTTATTTTGAATGGTATACCTGAAACACCTGCCTAATTCTGGACAAGGTGCCGTTTTAAAAACAGAATTGAAAATGTTTGTTAAACATATTATGGCTTTATTAAAAACAATATAATTAGTTATGCGATCGAACTCGGATGAAATGTATCTAGTATAACGAATATCTAGATACTGTTCTACTAATTTCGCACAGAGGAAATCTGGGTAATTTTTTTTTTTTTTACTTGTTTTGAAATTCATATTCTTTCTTGCTTGTTTCTTTTTGTTTTCTGTCCCATATATCGACAGCGACACTGCAAAAGCCTGCAAGGGAAATTTATATAAAAATGAGATTTTGAGCTTTTTTGGTCAATCTTGATCTGGCGCATATTATGAGCCAAAAAAAAAAGAAAACTGCGGTCTTTCATTTCTTCTCTATGGCATTTTGTAAAAACCTGTAACTTAAAAGTAGCAAATTGTGATGTAAAAAACTGTAAGTTACAGTGAAGGTTATAGAGATTGTGTCGTTACCGGAAAAACGTAATGAATTTCTAAATGAAAGGTGGTCATGTAAATATAGAATGTATAGAGCGTTTTGCGCACAGACTACAGTATCAATTAGCTTTATTAACAGGCTAAAATTAATTTTTGGCGCTTCAGGGCAAATGGCCGGGTTCTCTTTGCCTGAGGCCGGCACTGCTTTCCATGGAACTAGAATAAGCAAAGAAGAGAGTGGTAAATGGGAATATAATATTGAACGGCCTTCAAAACAATCGAAACCTCCAGGCAATTGCAATATTATCTTGACCGGAAGACAGCTATAATGTCGCCGGATTTCAGATAGTGAGGGACAGATAATTGATTCATTAATTGGAAAACACAATACCAATGAATCTTCGAAATCAGGAGAAGCTCAGAAACGCAGTGATCTACATATCAGTAGGTTATCTAAAACTTACCAAGCATTCGTGAATCAAACCTTGTCCATATGAAGTTGATTATGTTAAAAACGAAACTTTTATAGACCATTCTAAAAAGGGACATACGCGCTCCATTCGATCCTCCCGTATAGCGAGAGACAAAATCCCAAATATCCCAGCTTAATGATCAAATACTCGCTTTTAAGTCAAATGTTTTGCAGATTTTTATTTGAAGTTTCGTTTCTTTTGAAACGTTTTTAAAACTGACTTTGCCCCTTTCATGATTTGGTCATTATTAACAAAGTTATTGGTGTTACTTTGGAGGGGGGGGGAGGGAGGGGTTACCTCTACTTAGGGTAATATAATATATTTTGATCACTAAAAACTACCCACTTTTTTCCTCTCCTGAAAATTTTTAGTTTTTGTTCTTACAGGCTTTTGCAGTGTGACTGTCGATATAATATTTATAAATAAAATAACAATTCTGGACAATCTTTCAAACTTCAAAAATGATTCTGTTGACATTGTTTACTCTGTCTATGGGAGAATCAACATGTTACTAATGTAATCAAGTAATCCTGATATGAAAATTAAAGTTTTATCACACCTGACATTTCTTCAACAAATTAACGTTATTTTTTAGGGCGATTGTTGTGTTTTTGAAAAAAAAAATATTACCAAAAACAAGATAAATTAAACATTCAACACCCACAATACCTGTTCTCTGACTTCAGATAATATACAATAGCCCGCCGAACAGATCTTCCCATATCATATCCTCACTGATGTTTAATTCCATTCAATTTTCTGTATACTCAGTTCCAAAATAATTCTTCACAACAAATAAATCTTCATTTGTAATCATAATTAAAAATATGTATTAATGCATTTTTTGAACCTTTTTAATTGTTATTACTTTCACTTTTAAATTTATTAATTAGAGTTTGTTTGTTTTTAGTTTAAAGATGTTGAATGATACTTTATAATGAATTTTAATTATTTAATTTTTTTTGTTCTTTTTTACTTAAATTGTATGCTATTTCTTTTGTTATAATTTTTTTTTCAAGCCTAAAGCTTTAAAGCCCACATACTATTGAATGTAATGATATTCTTTTGGTATTAATAAAGAATCATAAAAATAAATGTATGCATGAGTTGATGTATCTTTGTAGAAATAAATTCAAAATTATGTTATTAAAGGAAATATACATCAAGACTTTAGTATTCAGTAATGTTACATATACTACTCAAGCTGCATGTCCATTATAATATTAGTATATATTGTAATATCTCTTATATTTTAAAACTAGTAACATAACCTCAGATGATCACTTCAAGACTATTCGAACACTCCCAAAAGAAATAAGAGTTTGTTAAATAATAAACAAAATGATAAGAATATCAATTTATTGAACTAAACTTTATAATTATTTTATCTCAGGTATGGGTTACTGACAATCAAATAAAAACACTCAGACACACATTGACATTGTGTAGTGTAAACATTGACTACTCTAAACACTGTTTGATTTCAAAATTAATTCAAGTATGGATTGGCAAGCTAACCTTTTTTCTAAATATACTGTCTCTTCCTTTGTTGCACTAAATTCATTTGTCTTCAAACATTTTCCAAAGTTCTGCCAAACACACCTTCCAAAATGGTGACACTTCTTTCTAGTCAACTCAAGCTCCCTGGGAGATCCTCTCTCTCGTGATTCCAAACAACTAGTCTCCCTGCCAAACAACAATTTCCAAGGTGGTAATACTATTACTGAGTTTTACCCACTGGAGCCAGGATTCCTTCTCCTATCCTCTCTTCACCTCAGCTAAACATCAACTGCCTGCCAAAACAAAATCCTTTGTCCCCTCTCCTCTTTGGGATTTTCCTTTCTGGGGAAACTACAAAGTAGCCAATTTTCTTTTCCCTGAACTAATGAAACTATTTTTGAAATTTAAACATCCCCTGACAGTAGAACTAGATTAGCTTGCCTTTTAACAGTTCATTATTAATTTACTAAACTATTTTCAATAACTTCCAATAAAGGTGTATATTGCAATATATCTACTAAAACTTATCAACTTTATAAAGTGTACGTTTTATGGTATATAATCTTTCGCATTGCATCTAAAACTGTTCATCTTTGCAAAAGAAGTTTACTTTAGTATATTTTGTTTTAGCCCCCGGAGGAACCAGAACCATGGACAGGCATCAGAAATGCCACGGAACATGGACCTTTTTGCATCCAATACAACATGTTCCACTTGAATCCGAAGGTTATTGGGTCAGAAGATTGTTTGTACCTCTCAGTCTTCACACATGATGTACGACAATTATAAAGTATTATAAATTTAAATTTATTAGTTATCAAAGTCATCAAATTTATCCTGTTAATTTTTTTTTTAAATAAAGAATAATAATAAACTGATTCATTACTTATGGTGTATTCATTTTGGTAGACAAATGGTAGCAATCCAGTGATGGTTCATATCCATGGTGGCGGTTTCATCGCTGGTGACAAATCAAAGACAAGTCCAATTTATCTTATGGACCAAGATATTGTGATTGTAGGCATCAACTACAGACTGGGAATAATGGGTACGTATGAGGGTCTTTGTAAATAAACAGTATGTTTTTTTTATAGTTTATAATAAAAACATCTTTGATTTTTATGTTTTTTTTTTTAAAATGGAGTTAAAATAAATGTACTGATAATAACCTATATTATTTTACAAACAAATATAAATGAGTCAATTTTAGTAGATTGTTGACAGAAAAAATTAGCCTTTAGTCAAAATCACATTTAAAAATCCTTGTAAGTTCTAAAGGGAAAAATAATTTCATATATAGTCCGCAACACATTAAAGTAGCAAAAATGCAATGTTGGAAAGGTTAACATTTCTTACTCTAATATGGTTCTGATGATATGTACAAAACATTATGCTATTATAATTATTTGATAAATTAGGGTAGTGTGGTTCAATATTTAAAAACATTCAACTTTTAAAACCTTATTTTGTTTTGAAAAGAAGTCTTTCTTCTGCTCAACTCCTCAACCACTCAGTCTTTAATTCAGTCAATATTTTTTTTAGGTTTTTTAAGCTTTGAAAACAATGAACAACCAGGAAATCAAGGTATGAAAGACCAAGTGATGGCATTACAGTGGGTACAGAAGAATATTGCTAACTTTGGAGGTGATCCAAAAAGAGTGACTTTAGTTGGAGAAAGTGCTGGAGGAGCAAGTGTTGTACACCATATTATATCACCTCTTAGCAGAGGTATCGTTTGTCATGTTTTTTAAGCTATAGCATTATATTTCCAACCATTATATATTTGATGCTAATTATCTGATATATACTATTATATCATGTATATCAATTACAACATATATAATGCATGCAATCATACCATAAAATAATTAATTTGAAATGAATGACATATAAGAAACCTAAAAGAAAGAAATTTTAAGTTCATCTCATAATCTTACACCAGTTCATTCTAGTATCCTATTATTTAAATACAAATTCAATTATTTTATTTTCTAAATCAGGACACATACATAAAGAAAGATATATTTATTTTATTTTATATATATGTGTATATATATGTATGTATTTTTTTAGTTTGAAATGCTTTAAAACAATTAGTCAAATTAACTAATCAGCAATAACTAATAACTAATTGAGCTCTATTTATCAAATTTACATAGCTTAAAAAAATTAAAATAATATTAAACCAATTATATCTGTAGGGTTGTTCCATGGAGCTATTGCAGAAAGTGGTACAAGCTACAACACATGGACAGTTCTGCCACCAGGTTTAGCCCGGAACAGGGCAAAAAATTTGACAAGCCTTGCCTCCTGTCCTGTAAAAACTACAAAAGAGATCATAGCATGTCTGCAAGAAAAGAATGCCAATGAGCTAGTAGGGCTCATGGAGAACTTCAGGGTGTGTACATGGAGTATGACCGATCATAAATATCATTATTATGTTGTGTATATATAATGTATTGTTGCAGGAGTGGCAAATTGATCCATTGATGTTGCTCTTTCAACCAGTGTTAGAACCTAAAGGTTCTGGAGCCTTCCTTACAGGGCCTATTTCAAGTTGGAAACATAATCCTGTCCCACTTCTGACAGGAATGACTTCTGGAGAGGGCTTGTTGAGAACCAGATGTGAGTTTTAATAAATCTTAATGGTAATCTAACTCGATCATTTTTTATATCGAATAATTTCAACTATTATCTGGCATCAACGTAGATTTTAAAATAGATTACTATTATTAGAATGCACCTTACCTTTCAGTCCCGGTGCCTAAAATTGATCACTATTTATTATTATAAAATCAATTGAATATACCTATTATTTATAGATTTCTTGGAATTCGATATGGATTTCAAATGGTATAATGACAATTTTGAGAAGGTGGCTCCAATATCATTTCAGTATGTTGCATCTGCTTCTAATCCTGAGGAGGTAACAAAAAAAATCAAACAATACTATTTTGGCAACAAACAAATCACAGCTGAAGATTGGCTGAATATAACTACTGTAAGCTTTTTTTTTTTCATTACACACACACACTATAGTGTAGTATTATTTATAGTATATGGTAGGCAGTTCACTGTACATAGATATAGATACTAAGTGGATAGACATAAGATTTATCCAGCCATGTCTGGAATACCTGAGAGTCTTCAATTATTCATCTCAGATTTGGTTCAATGGTCCAAATGGAGTATATCACATCTAAAGCTTATATCATGATTTATACCAAACACAGAAGGCCCATAAAGAACTGCAGAAGTTATACCTTCAATTCTTTTATTTAGAACCCAAATTTGGAAAATCCTAATGCCCACAGAATCATACTGGAGACAGAATGGAAAATTACCATCAATTGTTAGCAACAATACTGGGATATGTCCTTATAGTAATTATATATAAATCAGTGAACCAGTAAAACATGTGTTCATTAAGTGCATCCACTTTGCTGATGAAAGATAAGAATTGGAGATTTCGCTTTGAGTGAATGTCACTCCCGTTGCAAAGTGAGAAAATTGGAAAATGGTGAAGAAATCCGCCACAGTTGTCATGAAGAAATTGAGATTGGGAGAAAGAAGTAGGAGAGGTTTTTCGCCCCCAAGAAAGAAGATAAATACTCTTAATGACAAATAATAGGTGATAATAAAACTGAGATGGCACATACCCATTCTCCTCAATGAAATAATGTCTAACGATGGATTCGTGGAGAAAAATAAACCAGTGGTTTTTGTTGGTAGAAATCCCACAGGCACTCCTTTTTATGTCTTTTGAAGATTTCCGCTTCCTTCCCATGTTAAGAAAAATAACATACAAGAGAGTGCATTTGAGTCCAAACTCAAATTATATGGTATTGGTTTAAATTAGGACCTGAACCAAGAAGGTTGGTTTTGGAATGTGAAAATCCACAAATTTTAAACTCAAATTAGATACATTATACATTTTTCAAGGTTCACTAGTTATAAAAATTGAAATATACAATCCATCTATGATGTACCAAATATCAGAACTTTTAGAATTGAATTTAAAAATGTGAGATTTTTTCTTTTAGCAGTTTATGGTAAAAATTTATATTTCAGGCAGTTGGTTGATGGTATAAACTTATATTTCAGGCATATTCTGGCAGTTGGTTGATGGTATAAACTTATATTTCAGGCATATTCTGACAGTTGGTTCACTGCTGGTATTATGGATGCTGCCAACAAACACTCAGGAGATGTCTATTTTTACTATTTTGACTATATTGGTGAATATTCCTATACACCAAAAAATAAAAGTTTGGCAATAGGTGAGTGTTTGAAGAAGGAATTAAATTAAAAATGACATTCATTGTAGTTAAATTATTTTAATAACATATCAAATATATGCAGGAACAGGACACTCTGAAGAGGTTCTATACATTTGGTACAAGGACTTTGCACCTAACTTGAAGGGAAAAGATCTAGAATTATCTAAAAAATTGGTCAAAATTTGGACTAATTTTGTCAAATACGGGTGAGTAATTTAAAAAAATAAATTGATATAATGCTGTTATGATAATAAAATTTGTAATTTACTGAAAACATAAGCAATGATACAATGTTACATTAGTTAATTAAGATTAAATCATTTTGGCCAAAGTTAAGAGGAAGGAATGGCCCAATTTTTTTTATTTTTTCAGAAAACCTGTGTTACCTGATAGTAATTGGCCTACATGGACTAAGAAAAAACATTATTATTTGAACATAGGTCAAAATGGATTTAAAATAAATGAAGGACTTTGTGAAAGCAGATATAATTTCTGGAGTAGCCTCAATTACAATGATAAATATCAATGGATTGATTAATAAAATTTTAATGTCACGTTATATGATTCTTGTCAGCAATTTTTATTTTGACTTAATCTCAGTGATATCTTGGTAAATATAAAACTGTTAAATCCGCTTCTGATAAATAACACACCAAATATTGATGAGATTGTGTCAAATTCAAAGTATTTATAAGTTGGTTAATTAATTAAAATTTACATATTAGTTTAAATTTATTTAATTTATTCATCAAAATTGTTCATTGATTGAAGTGTTATTAATTTGAAAAAATGTATTAATTTAATAAATACCTTTATCATTTTACTGTATTTTTATTGGTCTGAATTTTACCAATCCAACAATACAAATATCAACGTGATTTAGCTGAAGTAAAAAAAGGAAAGAGAAGAAAAAAAAATGTCTGGCTAATCTCTGGAGTTCAATGTCATTATCTAATCTAGTTTGGATACTTTCAGTTTTAATATTAAAACCTGATAATTTTCCTTCTAAATTCACTGCTTAACGAAGGGTGGAGTCTTATGGATCTGGCCTTGAAAGGTCACTGTTTCTGTCGGAGTACATTAAGTTCATTAAAAAAGTAAACAACAAATATGGTTCAATTGCTAGCTTAGAAGAAGTAATCTAAAAGTAACTTTTAATAGATAGGTATGCTATGTATCGTAGAGGCCGTTGTGCGAATTAAAATATGGATATTTCATGAATTTTAAATAAGTAGAGATAGTGAAGTGAAGAAAAGTTTTATTTGTGGGCCGACTGAGGAGGCCTGTGTACAGGAGGCTCAGGGAAGATAGGGCTGCACCGCTAGATATCTGCTTATATTACCCTTATCTGTCGCTGAAATGAAGTTTTTGGCCAACACTCCATTTAGGTTGTAATGTAGATAAACAATTTCGCCTAATGAAAAAGATAATCGTTAGCCTTGACCAGGAAGTACACCTGTGATCAAAAGGAGAGCAGACGCATCTGGCCTTATAGAGGAGGGCCTCCGGAAATGTCAGAAGAAAAACCTAATAGGTGGAGTTGAAGGGTGAATTCAACCCTTGCTACAGTTAGAAGATAGAAACAACCAATCAGGAAAACGTTGAAATGAACAGGGAATTACAGGAGATACAATCAAGTTAGGGACACTCAAGCTGAGGGAAATCCAAGAAGATAGTCATCCATTGCAGAATGGATGAGGCTTGGAATAAGGACTTCAGTGAAGCAAACTTGAGGCTTCCTTGGATATGGTGATCCAGAGAGGAAGCCCGTTGTTGGTACTTCCTAGCAATTCCTAGCAATCAAGAGGAAACCTCAAGAAGGCGGTCTAACACCAGAACAGTGTAGCTGGAAACTTCACCATATTCCAACTATATAACCAGTCAAGTCATAATATTCATTTGGGTATTTTCTACATCCTTCCCTAAGGTGCTGAAACACAGCACCTTAGGAAAGGACTTCTGATATTAAATATAAATCAATCTAGTATATCACAGCAGGGAGTGTGTGGTATCTATTCATAATTTTCAATACATAATTAATATATTTTTAGGTAGATCAGTCCCCTTTCGGAACGGATAAAAGTATAAATATTAAATATAGCACATGTAAATAAACGCAGTTTCTGGGATCCCCTACTCGCCTTAGAAAAGCGAATAGCCAGAAACGTAGCAAGTATATTTATTTTTTTTATTTAAGAGCTTTTCTTCATAAATTGAGATTTCCCTCAGCCATACTTCCATCTTTCAGTCGGTTCCTCCACTTCTCTATGTACTACGCTTCCTCCTTCGTCAGCCCTCGGTCCGCCATACTCTCTGCCGCAACATCTCTCCATCTGACACGAGGTCTTCCTCTTCTTTTCCTACACTCGGCCTCCCACTCAAATGCCGTTTTGTGAAGTTGTTCACTGTCCATCCTTTTCATATGCACATACCACTGTAATCTTCTTTCTTCCAGTATTTCTAGTATATTATACTTAACTTCCATCCTTTTTCTAGTGGTCTCGTTCCTGATTCTTTGCGTCCTTGAGACTCTAGCCGATCGCCTCTAAAAATGTATCTTCATAGCTAAACATGTTTTGCACTGTGATTACGTTTCCGAACTGTAGGACATTACGCTCTGTATTTTTTTTTTTTTTTTATAACTGTAAAATTTTTGGTTAAGGCTCAAATGATTCAACTGATAAGCCCAAACATTTGTATGAAGTTTCGCTTACTTAGAATGAATCCGGCTCAAAAATTAGGTTTTTTTTACTTGTGTATATTGATAAAATGATTATTAAAAAAAAAATGTGTTGAACTGGTTTACTTACAAGCAAGCGATATTAATTAGTTTTTAATGACCAATGTTGATGTTTGTTAATTTTAATTGTTGTCTTTCTCATTGTAGTCATTTATAATTGCTAGACAATTTTTAACATAAAGAATTGATAAGTTCATAATATAAAATAAAATCCTGTTATAATAGTATCCTATGCAAAACATTACAATTATTTCAAAGTGCTCATAATGACCTACCTGTCCGTACCCGATCACTATTGATGGCAGACCATTTCATTGAGTTGTACCATTACCGTCTTTAATATTTAATAATAGATGACTCCGGTATGGTTTCTGTTGAGAACTATCAATGCCTATCAGACAATGATTGCACTTACAGTAATTGTCTTTATTTGATTTCAGTACTTAGTTCTGTAGTTGATGCGATGGCATCTAACCAACTCTTTCCCCAAACTGATTCATATTTTAGAATAATCTTTTTCATTTCTTCACTGTTCGGATTCTTTCCCTACCGCCTTAAAAATGAAACTTTCAAGAAATCCCCTTCACTGTGTTTTTTCACAGCAACAATTTTTATTGCAATTACCTCTTACGCAATTTATTACTTCTTAAGGATTTCTCTAAGTCCTTTGTTTGAACAAGGATTACTGTACAGAATATTATTCATACTGCTTTTTACAATGATGCCTCTGGTGACATTAGTTGGCATAGCTACATCATCTTCGCGAGCTTTGGCCATTAACAAGATGTTACATTCCTTGAGAGAGATCGACCGTCTTTCCTGTGACAAAAATCACTGGAAGGCTATGAGTTCGGATTGGAAGGAAAAAAACATCGTTGGTGCCTCCTGTATTTTGCCTTTTATCTTCTACTATCACTATTTTCAAAGTGATCTAAAAGCCCACATGACCGGAATATACTACTTTGTTCTTTGTGTAGGCGTGTACATCTCATCTTCTCAGTTCTCCGCTACGGCACTCCTTATCAGGAAAAGATTCTCCAGTCTTTACTATTGTTTAAAACAAGTCCGACTGGATGGCAATCTTAGCTTAGCTATTATAGAGATTAAACATTTAGTATACCTTCACAACCAACTGTGTGACGTGGCGGTGCTTTTGAACGAATCTTTCACTGTATTGCTTACCGTTCACATAGTTGCGGCTTTTATGTTAACAGTAATTGTCATATTCTACTTGACAGTCGGTTACTTAGAAATAAACATTTTTAATCCCAATTTTTTTTTGCCTAACAAATCGATGAAATCCTCTGTACAGAAAATAAGAATAATCATTGCAATCCTGTTCTTTACCACTATTTGGCAAATCTGTACCTGTTCAAGAAAGATATCTAAAAAGGTATCGAATATTTTCGATCATTATGTAATTGAATTAATATATTTATATAAATCTTGAAAAAAAAAAAAAATAAACAGCAGAACTCACTTATTTTTGAACTTACTTATTTTTGTAGATTAATAAATTTAACGCCCTCTTGTATCGATTCATGATTAAAGACGTAACGAAGAAAATGTTAAATGAGGTAAGTTCATATAGTTAATGTCTTTTTTCGTTTAATAACTTGCTTCAAATAGGACAATAGAAAAAGATTTTTAATATATGTGCCGCTTTTTCCAACTTTTAGATAGGTTATCATTTATCGACAACGCTGTTAATTTCCACAAATGCTATAAACACTATAACACACTTATTAGGAAATCTGTTTCTCCTTAAAATACTATTTGAACCCACTTTGCTCCTTCAGTCGTTACAACGTGTTTCAAATTTACATATTTCTAATTCATTTTCGATTATTTTTTTTGTTTTGTAAGGAATTTAGAAATCTTTTAAATAATCATGGGCAAAATTAACAAAAGAAAAAGTTTACTTTTTTATATATTTTAAAATAGAGCTCGTTTTCTTTCATAACTTTCCCCCCTGAAATTTCGAGGGATGTGGCTATTTTTCTCACCTCAAGGAGATCTTCAAAATGAGGGATCAATATTTGGATTTGATGAAGAATTGACGAAAATATGGCGGCCCGACGAAAAAAAAAAACATTTTTGAGAAAAAATATAAAAAGATTTTCGATGGTCACAATACCTCATCATGTACACCGACAAATTTTCAGAAAAATGAAAGAGCTGTATTACATTTTTTTTTTTTTCTGATCCTTCTAAATCGACCTCTAACATGTACTACGTATCCCTTGATATAATATTTGGCCAATAGGAACCTATAACACTGGTAGTTTCATGTGGCATATTAGTAAAATTAGCTTATTAGCTTGCTATTAACCAGTTCATTTAAATTTGTGCTAGGAGCAGCTAATACTTCAAGTCACTGCTAAGAGGGAAGTTATCTTCACTGCCTGTGGCTTCTTTAGCTTGGATTACGCTCTAATACATTCGGTAAGGTTAACTTCAAAGGTTACGTCTCCAATTCAAGTTTAATTATTTACATAATAATACTAATATATAATAATAATATATAATAATAATAATAATTATTTACATGTGTATCTGTTAATAATTTCTTATGGGTTTGTTTACGTTATTTCCAAGGATTTTGTTTTCTGTTTTGTTGTGTACATACTTTCAATGTGATAAAAGTAATGCATAATAGTTTCTTGTCATTAATGTTTTAAAAACTCTGTTTTGTTGTATTGATTTTGCGTTAGACGTCAGGTGTGGGTGGGCATATTAGCTTGGGTTAGGGGCAGTCATTGTGTTAAGAAAGGGAGGAAATTATCCCACGTTCCTTACAAAATCAATGTAGTGAGATGAGATAATTTAATTAATAATATTTCGTCAATTTTTTTTCTTTTCTCCTCTAACTCACATTTTCGGTAGTACAGAGTACTTTGGGAGCCAGGAGAGAGGGCGAGAGTTTCAGATTTTGAGTTTGCTAGGCATCCCATTTTTTTTCTATGTTAAATTACGATCTTGTATATTATACAATATTTTTGGTAAGCTATTCCTCCCCACATGTGCCAATAACATTGAATCAACCAACATATTCGAAGGTGGAATGTTAAATTAATCACATGTATTA